CAAATGTCAGACAGGTAAGAAAGAAGCAAATAAGAGAACATGGGACAGACATACATCGACATATAAAACTAAAGTACATTAAGTAATTAATTGCTGTGCTAGTTTTGGTCTTAAAATGTTCCTAAAATTATTTGCTCTTAAAATATCTCGATCGGAGTTTGCTCACTATTTAAGTTTAAACAACTTCATCAGAAGTGTGCTATTGCCCTGTGATGATCGATAATATACCTATAATTATATATCTAACATACCTATAATTATTCTTGATGTTTCTTTGCAATATCTTAGTATAAAAAGTAGCAAAAAATTATGGTATAAATATATATTTCTTTGTTTACAATACTCTATATAAGGTTGGGTAATGCTAAGTTAAAAAGTTAATTAATTTTAATTTCATTTAGCTATATTTTAGCGATATTTTAGCTTAACTTTTTAACTTTACATAGTTATATTCTATTGGTAACTATTAACTTTTAATTTGATTTTTTAAAAGTTAACATCAAAATTGAGTAGTTAGCGTTATACGGATCCTGTACTCGGATTATATACATTCATGTCCATTGGAAATGAATTTTTTAAATTTTAAATTATTTCAAATATTTCAATTACGTTTAAATAAAGAATAAAGAGGTTTAAAAGTGATTTGTCGTCATGACCTAAAATCACGATTTTCTTGAAAAGTCAGAAGTGCAATTTACTGCTTTATAGGGATTATTTTTTGATTCCCCAAAATAATGGGGCAAAAGATGATCAAAATCCGTGAAATAGGTAAGTCTTTCTTTGTTAATTAAAAAAGTTACTTTTTAACTTAGTTTTTTAATTTAAAAAAAAGTTAATTCGAAATTATGAAATAAAACAAATTTAATTTTTAACTTTTCAATTACTTTTTTTTCATTAACTTTTAATTCAATTTTCAAGGTTGTTAACTGTAACTTAACTTAGCAAAAAGAAAGTTAACTTATCCAATCCTGTCTATATATGTTTGAGAAGTGGGAATGCTAGCGTGACATGAAGTCAGTCTCCACTTTTGGCATTAATTTCCTACGAATGGGAAAAACTAAACTAATTAAATTTGAGACTAGAGCAATGAATTAATAATAAATTAGCACTTATAATATATGGACGAACTTTTTTTTAATGATGCTAGCTTCACAGATATCGGACGTTATGAGAAATTTCGACAGATTATATTTTTTGGCAGAAATAAAAACTATGTCCCAGGTTTCCCTAACTCTAGAACTTGAGAAATAAAGTAAAATTGGAAAAATTAAGTTATAATTTTCAAAAAAATTAAAAAAAGAATTTTATATATATTAACTAAATAAAGCATATACTAAAAGAAAAATAAAACTTCAACCAATCCAATTAATGTTTCAGAACGAGAAAGCAGTGCAATTAGTTACGGAAGCCGAGAGCTTTTCTTGGCATTTAATTGACGCCATAGCATATGATCAAGTAATTAATTGGCATGTGATGAGTTGCGATCCCAAAGTGATCCTATGCCTGGGTAAAGATCAAACTCATGCTATCGATGTAGCTATCAATAAGTGAGTATAATTCATAATATATTCACAATATAAGAATTAATATCAGTATTTAATATAAAAATAATTTAATATACAGCTTGCTGAAAATAGTAGCAGCTTATGACCCTACGGTGAAACATTTTCATCCTACCACTTTGAAAAAGAGACAGATGTATGTACGTTCGTCGGTGAAGTTGTTGATCAACTGCACTACAAGATACAAGTCCCTTCTGTCGAGTAATAACAAAGCGTTCACTAGCACGTTATCGCGGATGCTCGATGAGATGGAAATCGTTATCACTAGCAGTGAGTATTAAAGTTTCAAAACTGACCTAAGAATCTAAGATCCTATAATACAAACTAGCTTGTTCAGATCTAAATACTGAAGAGGTCAGAAATCTAAAAATCTTTCTCTTTAAAATATTGCTATAATTAATTTTTTGTCTAGCTGTATCTGAGTCACAACAGGTTGCTGAAGCTGGATTGCTAATCACCGAGTTTTTGCACTCGATCAACCAAAGCGGAACATTGGTCGATCATCTTCGCAGCAGTTGGACGGCATGGTTGCTAGAGCGGACTGCTAGCAGTCCGGTGTTGATGGGAATATTAAGGGTAATCGGAATGGCGGTTGCTTCTTCGTCCACTTTAGGTCACCTCATGGAGGCTGCCTTGGAAGCTTACTTCAAATACAATAGTAAACGATTACTCAACTATTCTCGTGTAACAGTTCTATCTTGTTTTGTGTGTATCAGATTTAGCTTATTTATTTATAATTGAATATATATATATATGTATACACTTTTAGTAACGGAAGACGTTCGACCGACGTGGGCGTCAGTGTTGATGGTCTTACAGCCTGTAGTACCGCGTCAGCCGCCATTAGAGTCCGTACTGGTGTCAGAAGGAAGATTGCTAGCCCTTTACTCCGTATTGCTGAAAAGACTTCCGTCCTGCAGAGATATCCGGGAAGAGGGCATGCTTTTGATTAACTTGGTGGACTGGATTAGTGCTATTAAAACCACGTAAGTATTTCCAAAAATTAAACAAAACGAAATTCTGAAAAAGTTAATTTCGTTTATCTAGAGATATCGCAGAAGATAAACTGCCTTTGCTGTGGGCAAAAACATGCGAGCTGGCCTATAGACAGTGTCAGTATAGTGAAAACACAGTGATCGCTGCCAGAGCTTTAAAGGGATTAGCACGAGCATTACTAACAGTAGCGGATGATGCAGGGCAAGGATGGGGTATTCTTGGGGCTATTGGATTAAGAAAAGGTTCTCAGCTCACCGTACGGTAAGTTCCAGCGATATAACTATCAAAAAGTAAATTTTTATTCTCTTCATACATTTAGCATTTTAATTCCATTACATTTTCAGATGTAAGTTCCTAAGTCGCGCTATAGCTGTCTATTGTTTGGCACAATTACCGGAATCTAAATCCGATCAGCAATTAGTGAGGTATACTTCACACTCGCCCGGTGTAGCACCTTCAAGGTTGACCGATCCAGACACGATGGAGATTCGTCCTAGCACAGAGGCTGTGAAAGCAATGCAGAATTTGGAAGGGCTCCTGGTAAATAAGCAGTACGCGGAGCTACGGGGAGACGTGGAAAGAGCCATTAGACTCATCAAGGATTCTGCCAATTCTCTTCACAATGTCGTTGAAATTGTTGGCATACTCACCATGGAGCTCTACAATCAAAGATACCTACATGTGCTAACAGAGTGATACTAGTTTTATTTATACATAGATTTAGTGATAGGCTGATAAACGCTTTAAATCGTTTCAAAGCGTGATACATGACCTTGTAAGATTTTTTATCGAAAGCTGAGTTTTTAGTCGCTCTATGACGTCTTTTAAAGCATTTCTAATTCTTCACGATTGATTTTAATATTTCAAGCTTTGCAAAGTTTCAATAATTCAATAATTAAATATTTTAAGGAAATTCTATAAAAAAAAATACTTTCAGGAACTTCCATGATTGAATTGCTTGAGAACTTGTGGAATTGAATGCTCATTACATAAATTTTACTAATGCAATGACGCTTAAATCGATCGTTTAAATTGAATGCTATAATCATTCATATCAATCTTGCAGATTGAGGTTATATTATGATTATTCGTTTATATTAATATTCGATCGAATTAAATCCTGATCTCTCAAGAAATATAATTGTGATATAATTTCAATTTTAAATTTAATGCGTAATATAGGCTTAAGATAAGTCGCACGCATATATTTTATTTTATTTAAACTTTTTAGGTCTGTATCGATCTAGTCACGAAGTTTTTTAATTTGAGACATGTAAAATCTAAAATGCATTCAATTTAAATGATTATAGTCACATAGTTATATCGATAGTATATAATTGAAATAATATTTAAGGATGCAATGGTTGTTTACACTTAACATAAAATTTGTGCATTCGACTTGCGTCATTGATACTTCGGTACCTGCGTATATAAATTCTGTATTAAATCAATGAAATATCTGATTTGTATTTATGTATTACATTAAGATTCTGATAACACACTTATTATAATTTCATTGTTTATATCGCAGAGTCGTTCAAGAATAATGGTTGTCATAAAAAGTCGTTGATAAATGAATAAAAAGATTATTAAATGATTCTTCAAATTAAATCGCATATGAAACTACTGAACAATTTTACACACGAGACTATTATTTTTATATAAGATGTTTCTAAATTGATATTACAAGATTTACAAACAATTTTTGTGGTAATACTTTATGAACAATTCATAATATTTTGTTAAAATTCTAAAACAATATATATCCAGGGTGTCCAGCGAAATCTGACTAATCCATTCAAGGACAATTCCAAGACATTCCAGGTAAAAAATCTTAGTTTTTCCAAGATATCCATCGATTAATTTCCATCATATCCATCGATTAATTTCCATCACTTGATTAATTTTCATCGATTCACACAATGTTATGCTTTGTATTATTCAGTTAGAAGTTATTTTATAAATCTTCAGATTTTTTACAAAAATAACAAAAATTCGCATAACAATTTCGGTTACGAGATTGAGTCATCCTCAGATGTATAAAAAATTATTGATTCTTAAAATAAAATAAAATAAAATAAAAGAAAGATAGTTACACTCCGACCGTCGTAACAGTCACACTCGATTATTGTCAAGCTATCTTTCTTTTATTAATATTTTATTTTAAATAATTTGAAAACTAATTTTAATTCTTGACAATTATTTATCATTTTATTTTATAAAATTTAATTTTTTTTTACTGCGTTTCACGTTATTCTCCAAAGAATCAGTAATTTTTTATATATCTGAGGATGGCTCAATCTCGTAGCCGAAACATATTATGCGAATTTTTGTTATTTTTATAATATAAAGATTTATAAAGTATATAAAATAATTGGTTTTTTCTTCAATATATGTAACTTTTAATTTTAATTTTATATGTATTTAACTCTTATTGTCCTGTTGATATATTAACTCTATTATTATTATAAGAGTCCTTTACTATACTCAAGTTACAACTATCAAGTTAAGATTCTATATGACGAATGAATTAAAATGCTAACAAATTCGGAACAAATTCTTTCTTTTTTTGCGATCTAATTTTTTTAATTCCAAGTCAATCCTGAAATTCCAGGGGTTTTTCGGGAATTTTCCAGAATACATTAAATTCCAGTATAATTCTAGGATTCAAGAATATATTCAAGGACTCGACACCCTGATATCTTATTTTCCAAAGTTCTATAAACAACATTCATTAGATTATCGTCTTATTCTGACGGAGTCAAGAAAAAGCTACGTATTAAAACACATTTTTGTTAAAATGCGTAAGTTACTTTGTTTCTTAAAATTCAATTTTCACAATTATCATACTTTTAAAACGCTACAGCGTGCATCTCGTAGAAGCTGCGAAGCCTCGCCGAGCGGATACTCAATCAGTTCGCACTCAAACTGATCACTGAAAGCGTTTCTAAAAATTGGTAGCACGTCTGCGATCGTAACATCCATGTCCAGCTCCCTAGAGATGCTGGTCACACTCTTGCCTTCGATGCCACAGGGCACAATGTGATCGAACCACTTGAGATCAGTATTGCAGTTGAGCGCGAGGCCGTGGGTGGTAATGTAACGGCTACCGTGAATGCCTATGGCACAGATCTTGCGATCACCGACCCAGACTCCTGTGTCAGGTGAGGTCTCGGCCTTAATACCAAGCTCGGCGCACACGCGGATCACCATACGTTCCACTTCATGCACGTACCACTTGATACTGGTATGAAATTGTTTAAGGTCGAGCACTGGATAAGCCACCAATTGACCGGGTCCATGGAAGGTGATTAGCCCACCGCGGTTTGTTCTCCAGAATTCTGCACCGAGGCTCCTCAGCTTCTTCTCGTCTTCCTCCGTATATCCTTTGCTCCGTATCCCTACCGTGTACACTGGCTCATGCTCCAAGAGCAATAGCGTATTTGCTACTGCGTCCAAATGTTTATGATGATGATCTGATAAAGCCTTTTGTAATTGTAGACCAACTCCGTACGGTAAACGACCGCCTAGTAAGACTTTTACCATTCGTAAATGCATCCTGACACTCAATGACATTAAATTGAATGTTTTTAAAGCCAAAAAGCAAGAATTTTGTTAGCTCAAAAGATTTAGCAAATTCTCATCATTTTGGTTCTCCTTTTCTATAGTAATGGCCTTTGCATCAAGTGTCGTATGTAGCAGAAGGGATACCTGCAAATGTGTGAAAGTTATTATTTTGAATAATGAAGACATAACTAATTATTTAATGATTATATTTTTATTTAGCATTCTTTCATCATTTTTAAATTATAAATTATGCAAATACAGAAAAAAGCATGCAAGCCAACGCTGGTCTTTATTGGGAATATCTTAATGTTGTTTCATTAAAGGCTTATGGGTTGCCGAAGATACATAAGCAAGATATTCCACTCGGAATGATAGTCTCTTGCATTAATAGTCCCCTCTATCGTTTGGCTAATTTTTTGCACAATATTAAAAGCAGTGTCCTTAAACACTTTAGTAATATTGAGAACAGTTTCCAACTTATAAAATTATTAAATAATATGCCTTTGGATCCAGATTACAAGTTGAGATCTTTTGATGTTATGTCTCTTTTCATAAACGTACTGGTAGATTTGGCAATTTAAAGTTTAAAAACTAGATGGAATAATATCATATTTCTAAGACCATTAGTATACTTATAGAAAAATTCTTATTAGCAGTTTCTTTAATTCTAAATTCAACCTTCTTTACATTTAGGAGAACTATCTATAAAGAGATCTTCAGCACCCCTATAGGCTCACCTCTATCACCTACAGTGAGCAAAAAGTATTCGTACAAGGAAATTTGTTATAAAAAAAGCCTTATTTGTAGAAAATAAATATTAATTAGCAATTTTATACAATGAAGAATCATTTTGATATATATATATAATTGTAAGAAACATATAATCTATTTTATTCTTTATGAATAAATTATTAATTATCCAACAAGAAATGATCATTAATTAAACGTCGAATCGACATCAAATTGATATTAAAATCATCGAATTTATATCGATTCGACATCAAATGAGTCATTTCTCGCTGAATAATATTCACTTTTTAAAAATAAAAAATAAAGTTTTTTTTTAAATATTTTCTCTGTATGAATACTTTTTGATATACTCACTGATATATGAATACTCACTGATATATTAGCAGATTTAGTGATGTGCGATTTAGAGGAGATTGTAATTAAATTTTGTATCCCTACCTTCCTTTTTACATTAGATACGTAGATAATATTTTGCTGCACCAGCAAACAAAATTGATGAAATTTTAAATATTTAATTGTTTAATTTACGCAAGATTGCAATTCACTATGGAGATAGATGGAGATGACGGAGTTAGTTTCCTTGATGTAAAATTGCTAATTGAGGAAGCGAGAATTATGTTCGATGTTTACAAAAAACCAACGGATTCTAAGAGAAATCTTAAATAATATTCTTGAGGCTTCCACGGGTGCTTTCTATATAAAGATTATGCCCGTGAAACACATGATTTTTATTTAGATATCTTAATTATCTCTGACCATATGAAATAAAAAGAATGTTATCATGAGTCTGCTTGATAGAGCTCTGTTTCGGATCCATAATTTCATGATGAGAATTAAAAAAAAAATCATTTTTGTACTTTTTTTTAGATGGATGAATGGATACCCTTTAGATTTTATATTTGCTATCATCAATAATAGAATAAAAAAATCATATCTATAAAAGATCTGATCATAATAACAATGAGAATAATAATTTAATTAAAAAAAAATTCCCTATCATAGTAATATCTCAAATAGTTTCAGAAATATAAGCAGAAATATAATCTTAACGTAGTCTTTAAACCGCTAACTAAATTTATTAAGACAGGTAAAGACAAATTGGAACCACTTTCACGTAACAACAATTTTGTCTACAAAATAAATTATCGAGACTGTAAATCCACTTATATTGGACAAACGAAAAGAAATCTAAAAACTCGTGTTAAAGAACATCAAAATGACATCAATAAAAAGATTGGGAATATTATCTGCGACTATTTATCGGTTATATCTAAATATAGATTGAAAGAAAATCATGACTTTGAATGAGAAACAGTGGAAATTCTAGATAAAGAACCATTTTAAGAACCATTATAAAAGACTCTTATCAGAGATGATATACATAAAAAAGCAAACTCATGATTTAAATAAGCATAGTGATAAGAAAACATTTCCAAATATCTATTTTCCGATATTAGAAGATATATCCCCTCTTCAAAAATAGTTGAGGAGAGGATTCTTCGTCTTTGCGTAGTGTCAACGATACATGTAATCGATTCGTTATGTTGTAAGGCTCTCGTCGCAATTTCGTATAGTTAATTGAGAAATTGATGGATGCGCAATAATGGTGGTCAAGTTGTATAGGTCAATGTTGTAGACAATAATTTTCTATCAACATAATGACTGTATTTTATCAATTTTAATTTGTCTTTTTGGAAAAAAATTTTAGAGAATCTTAAACAATTTTTATTCAAATTTAACGACTATATTACTTTAATGACTTTTCCTAATAAATTTGTTTAACTTAATGACTAATTTGGCTAATTTTAACTTTCTTATTAAATTTGTTTAACTTAATGACAAATTTGACGACTTCTCACAAGATAGGTTGAGTTCTTAATTTTGGAATGTTGTAGAAATGACGACTTTCATACGAATAATGACCACGGTTGCAAGAAAATAAAAATAGTAAGGTATAACACTAACCTTTTCTTAATAAAATTGAGCAATTGATAAAGGAAGTAGTATGGCATATTGAATGAAACATATATGTATGAAGCAAAGCGGCGAGTAATAAAAGAGCGAAATTTTAAATGATTACATTCTCAATTTATATTGTCAATTATATTTTATATTAGAGGAAAGGCTCCTATTATGATATATCGAGTTCATTTTGAGTAAATGCTAGAAGGTAGAATTTAAAAAAATAATAGGTCATTTTGAAGGGAATTTAATAAGCTTTAAGAACGTTATATAAAATTTAATTCAAATTTTTTTTCTGAAAATTAAAGAAATGTAAAAAGTGAGCAAAATCACAAAGTCAAACAATTGTGCTCCTAATATGAGATGCCACGAGAAATCGATAGTAAAACGCAAAGTATATCAGTATTGTAATTAAAAAACTTTATTTAATATTTCTAAAATACAAACACAGCCAACGTGCATGAAAAATGAGCATGCGATAGATTATACTCAAAACTCGTCTTCAAGTGGTTAAAATCAAGCATTGCAAAAAAAAAAGGCGTGACGTTCCGATTTTTTTTATTATTGTACAATAACATTTATACTTTAGCAACGATTTTTACTGTATAACACAGGAGCATGAGTTATTTCATATTAGAAATATCCTGGGTATCTCATATTACGATTTCTACGCCTTATGGTTTTATGATCATCAAATCTAACTTCTGTAATTAAACAATTCAACATATCCCGTATTTTTCTATTAGTATGATCTTACTCTATCACTACATGAATAATTTATTGCCAAATATTTATTTATTAAATAATAAACAAGGTTTAAAGGCTCAACTCAATGAAACTTGAAGATATCCAAATTCTAAAAGCTTTTTTTACAATGATTACATGCATGATCTAATAATGAATTTTCTACTAAATAGTTTTCAATCCAAGAGCAATATATTCATGGTGGAACCAATGTATAGCGTTTATTAGTTTAGCAGAAACGCTACTATCTCATATTAGACGCCTATCTTATAATAGGGGACTTTCCTCTATGTATATTCTCTAATTAGTTTAATTATAAACGCTTTCGAAAGTCTTAAAACAATTATTTATAATGATAGAAGAACGATAAAGAAAATTTAACGAATTTATATAAACATTGTATTCAAATACTATTGAAAATGGCCTAATAATGATCGAAACGTCTAGAATTTATTACATTTTGTTATAAATAACAACATTAAGATATTCGCAATAAGAATCAGCGTATTGGCTTGCATGGTCTTTTCTATATTTGATTGATTTACTCTAGAAACTATTATTTGATTGTATTAATATTATTATAAATTATGATCTTGACATTTTTACGTTTTTTTAGTGACTATAATTAATATTCTATTTGAATATTTAATTTTTTTCGTACTAAATTAATATTATTTTTATGCTTTATATGATTTGATTATTCATACATATATTAGTATAGCTTCAACTAATTTTGTACGTACATAAGCATCCGTGGCTGCATAATTTTTCTGTGCGTTGCTGAGGGGTTGTATATGCCATTTACTCATTCGCACGTCGGGATTTTTGCTAATTTTCTTCTTCAACTAAACATATAAAAGATTCCCCATTTTAATTTTATCGTCAAAATTCTGTAAGAATAATGTGAAGAAACATGTAATACCAAATAAGCAGTCAATTTTTCCAAACTCCAACGACAAGATCGCTTTAAGACACGATTAGCATAAGTCCCGCAGTCCAGACAATTATTCTCTACCACTTTCTGAGCAGGAAACTCTTTGAAATCTCTCCCTAACTTCCACACGTCGCTGCAAAATATTAAACATGCGATTATTGATATTTTTTTACAAGAGGAAAAACATTTGCGAAAGAACGCAGATAACGTCAAATGAAGTTTATAGACAATATTAAATGAAAATGGACCGAGAAATGTTTAACACAAATGAACGAAGAAGGGCTATCTTTGGTCAAGGCCGATTTCTAGTTCAAAAATTTTATCATCATATGCCTTAGTAATTGAATTGATAAGATGCTCGCATGAAATTTGGAAGATCCAAATTCAAATCCCGGCTGAGATAATATTTTCGCATAAATTATATGCATCATTTTATTACAGTGTGAACATTTATTACAGTGATAATATTAAACTGCTTGCCAACTTAATTTGTGTATTACATACTGTTGATTGTGTTCCAAATTCGACAAACAACCGACGCGCAGTTTATTTGAACTGAAAATCGTACAAATTTACACACAAATATTATTGGACATCGAGATCCGCTTTAATCGATTATGGCCCTCACTTACAGAGTTGAGATTAAGTATTTCAATGATCGAGACAATAATAAGAAAAAGACATTAATTTTTTCGTCACACCTTAGTTCCGACTCTGTTCATTTGTATTGAAGCTTGTAAAGTAATGAAACAGCGATTATAAAGTAAGTCTTACTTCAACAACAAAAAAAAAAGATAATGCAATATATATAAATAAAGAAAATACATATGTATATCCCAATGAGTTTCGATATTACGGCGTACACAACTACTGATTCTCGATAAACCAAGCCGAATGCGATAGCATAAAATCCTTTGTTCAATGACAATTAATCACGTATAGAATTTGAAGAACAGAAAGCAAGAGTGTTTATAATGTTGTAATTTTATAAAAAAATTCTGCAGATTGTAAAAATTCTCTCGATTATTAGTAACAATGAAAAAAATTTTAATAGTCTTGATGAAAGTCTTATATAATACGTATATTTTTATCTATAAATAAATTATTTTAACTCTAACACGTTGAAAAAATAGTAAACAAGGTCTTTCTGGAAACAATTTATCTCTCAAATACTATTCTCTAAAAAAAAAATGAAAATAGATTATTTAGTAATTACTGACTTTTTAATATTGACGCCAACGAGTTTGACTTTCGAGTGACATAGGAGTTCAACGAATGCTGCTGGGAGCTTCTTCAGCGAATAGACATACAAGAGATAACACACGCTGTCCTCCAAACAAATTTGCACCAGCGCCGTTTTTCCGCTGCCAGTTTGAAAGTTGAATGGCCACTCCAAATCAAAACCTATTGGCACGATCTCCTTCTTACTGCGCTTTACTTCTTGTTTAGAAGATTAAAAAAATATATATAACCCAGATTCAAATTTAATCTCAAATTTTTTTTTATTTCTATGTTCAGACTTTAAAGTATTTCATTAAGGCTATTTCATTTGTGTGTTTTTGTTGTATTACAAATGTGTGTAAGACTGAGAGATCCTTGGATCTCCTTATCTTATAGTTAATCAATAGGCTTGAAAAATGTATCATATGACAAAAACGCACAAATGAAATAGCAGCTTAACTCTTTATTCCAGATTCTTTTTCTATCTCTTTGCACTTTTGAGAAATATTTTATGTCTTCTACACTCACATGAGATCGTCACAAATCTGAGCACAGTTAAAGAAGTCATCAGCATATTGAATGCATCCCTTGAAAACAATCGGAGGCAAAGTTTTTATGTCAGGCTCTCTTTCAGGTTCTGATTGCTTCAACTTTTCCTATACAGAAGTAAGAAATCAATAATTATTTGTATCTTTTAGAGAAATTTTTATCTGGAACTATCTCAAGTAAAACATAAAATGGCCTGAACACATAATTATTATTACCATCACATTTTAAATTTCGTTAATTAAGAAGTTTTTGGAAATTCAAAGTTTTTTCTTGTGATTTAAATATCTATAATTCTCTTGGCCTGCAAAGTCTATAATGTAATAAAATATTTACTATTTGGTCCTTTAAATAAAAAGTTCGTCAACTTCTACTCGAGACAGAAATCTCCAACACAACAAATCAGACTATTTTCAGTTAATGTATTCGAATTTAAGTAAAAAATGCTCCATCACTTCGTACTCGCGTAAGGCTATATATTTTGTTGCCAATAGCCAACTATTCAATCGTCGTACACACCTTTAGATGCTGCGGCAAATTCCTTGGTGAGCGACGCAATCCAGGTTCTGCAGATACCTACAATCAGAGATTGCAGTCAGGGTTACGAAACATGACGAAGAAAAAAGAAGACGAGTCAGACCGTGCTCGTCTAACTAACCTCTTCCTTGATGAAGCTGTTGGCACGTGTCGTCATCGTGATGGTGGAAAGAAAGCGGATAACGATCGATACTGCGCCCGCTGCAGTTCAAGTTCTGGAGAATCGGCTTTGATGTCCAAATTCGGTCGTAAACACGGACTTCGTCTTGCCGCCAGGATTTCGATGGTGCCATTGTGCCACTCCGGTTGCTAGGATTCTACTTGCCGGTTTCCCGCCAATTTTCACCTGACGAACAGCTGATACTCCAATCGGTTGTCAAGCGAATAAAGTTCAATAAAGCGAAAGAGAAAAAGAGATAAATAAGAGAAAGAGATATGGTGTATTCGGGGAGAACGCTATTAGCGTTATTTCTGTCATTCTATCTTCATTGTTTGCTAGATTTGCTAGACGTAAAACAAGGATAGAATGATATATAGGGTCCCATAATTATTGATACAATACTTGTGGGCAGGCAAACCTTTGGTACCTCTAAAATAAAGCATTTACTACTATTATACTTTTCTAAAAACATAGATAAACAGGAGTAGAAAAAAATAACAAAGAAAATAAAAAAGAAAATTAAAGAGGAAAAGAAAGGAGGAAGAATTTGGAGGAAAAAAGAATTGTTCTTAGGTTTTGTTCGCGTCGCATGTTCCAGCATCTAATGAAGCTTGTTTCAGATTATACATTGAAGAATTCAATTCTTAATTCTCAATCTTTTTCTGCGTAGTCTGATATGAACTTGATATGATCTGATTGTATCTGCTTATTTTATTTTAAGTATGAAAAGTGCAATGTAATGCAACTGTAAACAAGTATAGAAAGGGAATAGAAGAGAGGGAGAGAGGAGGAGGAGGGTATCTCACATGAAATATAAAACGTTCATTTTTTCATCGAATTTATTTAAATAAGATCTCGAATCACGTCAGAGAATCACATAAAATTACTATATACATATACACATATATATATATATTTATATATATGTATATATATATGTGTATACATGTTTATATGTAAGTTATTTAAGCGTTATATTATTATTTTGCTCTGACACAAATATACATATGCAAAGATTCTAATGTTGATAACTTTTTTCCAGGTGTCTTAGAGATCTCCTACGTATTGACAACAGCATTTCTCTCTCTCTCTCTCTCTCTCTCTCTCTCTCTCCTTCTCAACCTTTATCGCATGTTTAAATAAAATAATTTAATTAAACAAACTAAATTAATTAGCAGCCAACGAAACTAATGACTACTATCCGATACTCTCTTGATTAATTGTCAGATCTTCAAATCAGACTTCCTCATTAATGGACGTATACTTAGTGATTTTTTTTCTTCAAAGTAGCATTAACCCATTAAATTTCAAGTGAAATAATGTAGTCTATACACTTTTCTACTTTAAAATTTTGTTACTCAAGTATTAATCCAAATTTTGAAATAGTAACTGGTATTTAGAAATAAAAAAAATTGTTCTTTCCAAAAATCTAGTTTACAATCCGGAAGAGATCCGGAAAAAATCCGGTATTATCCGATACTTTTTTCACTATTCGGTCGGATAGCCGAATATCATTAGTATCCTATAATGTAATACATATTCGGCTGAAATTTTATATTGAAAGTTTGTGTCATTACTACAGCATTTTATTCTTTTCAGCTAAACTTCTTGCACAATTCATTTTTTCTCTTTTTCTTTTCACATTGGGAAGATAAAGAAAATTATTGTCGCTATTTTTCCCCTTGCTTTTCTTTTTTTTTAAAAGCTTTGTTCGAGATATCCGACCGGATATCCGAAAGAATGTGATATCGAATATCCAAGAGAATATGATATCAGATAATTTTATGATCCAATGTATCTCTAATAATTATTATAGATTACTTAAATAATATTTGCATTGATCAAGGCTCGGTCTTATTTCAAATATATATTTTAAATAAGTTCTTGGAATCAATTTTATATACACATAAAGATTTTTTTTTTCAAATAAGTCGTATCAGTTATTTTACCGAATCCTGATATTGATATATTCTACTTAAAAAGAATCATTTACTTTTTCATCTTCATTTTTGTATCCATTTTTTTCAAATATCTTACCCTATCACTGATAGACTTGTGGAAAGAGCAACTCCTTTTATCCAAGCTAATTGCTGTCCAAAAATTTTGATTAGAACCTGAGATATGGATTTAAAATAAAAGTCGTCTGGACTTGATGAATTAAAAGCACGTGAAATTAAAAATTCTGCAAGAATAATTATCGCATCTGAATCCTAAAGCTTATAAACGACTTTTGATTGATCCAGTTATATTACATAGACGCATGTGTACATGTGATATTAAATCGTTCATATACGATCCAACGATTTTTGCGACAAACGTTTTGTGAAGGTGTGTAATAATGTGCATTCGCATATTTAGCGCTAAATGTGGGATGTGAGAGTATCAATATTAATTATTAATGATTTATTAATATAAATAAAATAATAATGAATAAAAACATTCAATTATATTACAAGTTTTATTGATTAATAACGTCACAATCATTATGTGCTCAATTTAATGCAATTAATATATTACGAATATGTATGTACATTAAATAGACATGATAAAATCCGAATCACATTTAGCGTTATGTGCAATGCTACATGAAAAAGACATGTTAAGAAAGTTCGAAATGCCGTATACAAATATATGTGAAAGTCGTTGAATCGTACATAAATAATTCAACACGAGTTAAAGTATCTAACCGCGCTTTACATTTAATTACAATCCTATCGCCCGCGCCGTAGAGATGAGTATGCAATATCGTCTCTTTTGCGAGCGATGTTACGGCCAATCAGTCGACTCTATTCGAGACGATCCTGAATACCTGTCCTGTAATCCATCACTACTGTTGTGTAATTCTGAAGACTGGCCCGATCCTGAGGAAAAATCTGCGCAGTATCGATCTGAGCTCGGGCTTGAGATCGAAACACATAACCTCGCAGAGACAGGGATAGCAGGTGGAGGCATGAATCGCGAAGCGATGATCGTTCATCTTGATGATTCGGGTGAGCAGCAGTAGCAAAATCGGGGTCCAGGCATCTCGGTGAGCCTCGTTGGCGAGCGCCAGGAAATACTCCAGAGCTTCGCATGCTACCTCAACCAGTCGCGCCTCAATCTTAGACCAATCTGTGCGATGCGCCTCATCACTGTACATCTTAAAGAGAATACGCAGTGCACAAGCAAGCGATTGCGTCTCCTGCTTCAACAGATTCGGTTTCATGTTGCCACGAAAACTGGCCTTCCACAATACGTTGCGTTGCTCGTGATTCGAATTGAAACTCTTAGCGAAGCGATGCGATCGTAGAAGGCATTCTACTAACTGCAGGAGATGATTGGTTGTCAGAGCGCAGTACATGCCTTGCTCCTCCTTCTGCTGATCAGCGCCAGCCCTAAAAGCAATTTGCATTGCGTATAAACTGTATATTATACAATTTTAAAATATTAACGCAGTGACAGGACACTCACTTTACAAGCTCTGATGATTTGCCGTTCAACATGTCGGCTTGCGCGAGCGCTAAATTCTCCTGATCCTCCTTGCGCGATGTCGCCGGATAAAAAACAATGTTGTCGATAGTTTGTATTAACTCAAGCTGGACTACACACTTAATTTGCAACGCGGAGAAAAGCTTTGCCTTCGGCAAGATCTCAGTATTCAAGCTTTGCGCGCTGTTGCTCCTCTTCAAAATACCAACATGAAAACCATCGGATTCGCCGGTAATCACGTCGAGATCCGATTCTTTGTTTGGTGAATGCGGTTTCCATGTGAGCAACGCAGACGGTAGAGTGCTTTCGAAAATGTCTAAGACACATTGACAAGTTTTCTGCCAAGTCTGCTCATCAAATTTGATGCCGTTACTAATGACCAGATTTTCCAAGCAGTTGGTGCCCGATCCGCACCAGAGAAGCTGAAAATAGAGCTGTTCTAGCAACAAAGGACCCAGGATATCGTAAAACTGTGAAAACACATCCACAATGGCATACAGTGCGTGATTGCACGTTGTTGTCATCCATTCAGCTTTCTGCAACATTTAATGGATTATTTAAATATTTAATGGATTATTCAAATAATTTCAGAAGAAATGCACTTATTTTCTCTTTTTAAAACTCGGAAATTATACGAACTTCGGTATGCTGTTCGGGCAACTTCATATTATCAAAGATCCTAAAAAGAACTTGAAAGAGGTCCTTCCACCAATGAGGCTTAAAGGATGCACCATGAGTTTTGACGACATCAAATAATACTGTCAGCGCGCGTGTCCTGACATCCAACTTACATCTGCTCACAACGCAGGATAATTCAAACAGTAGTGGGAACCATCCTCTCACCTAAAAGAAAAAAAAAAGAATAAGAAGATAACAATTGCGTCGAGCAATTAAAATGTTAATAAACGAGCTAAGATAACGATACCCAAGCTCGATCTTCCTCAGAGACTATCCCGCTTTCATCCATCATACCCTCGGCAAATAAATTGGGATTTGCATCAATATAAGAAGCACAGGAACGTATTAGCCGAATAGCTTCCATGCTAGTGTCCGGAAAAAACGCGTTGCACGCAAATTCGCTCAAACATTTAACGGCGTCTTGGAAAGAGTCCACCATAATACTGAAGTCTTCTGCATATAACTCATCTGAGAAAAAATTACACTCAAATAAACAGAGATAAGTAAAAATTCCCGGATCGATAAAATATCTCGAAAACAAAGCATTTTTAGGAATAATGATATAGATAAAAGTTGTAGGGTTTAAAAAGATCTATTTATTGATCATATCTGTTTGATCTTGAATGGCCAAATGTCAGATCGAGGTAACATTGATTTTTTTTTTAAATGGGACACCCTATTTTTTATTCCAGAATTTAATAGCTGATGTCAAGAGTTTTTTAAAAGATTGCAATAAATTCATTTTCATTAAGTACTTTTTAAGTACTTAATGAGTTAGCATTACCCAAAGTATCCAATCGGCTAAAACTTCTTGAATGTTCAGGATCAAACAGATGTGATCAGTAAATAGATCTTTTTAAACCTTACAACTTTTATCTGAATCATTTTTCCTGAAAATGTTTTGTTTTTGAGATATTTCATCGGTCCGAGACTTTTTATATACTCACCCTATAATACTACAAATTAACGCACACACATTATCTATTTAAATATATCAATTTAAATTATGATTAAAGAGAAAAATCATAGACAAAAATACAGTGACTATCTCTTAAACTGTCTTAAAGTAAACAAATGTAACTCACTAATAATCTTGCCGGTCATGGAAAAAGCCAACTCGACCACAGATTCATCACGATCGCTGGCCGCATGGTGAAAAACACTGAAAATGTTCTTCCAACCGGACCTGATATTCGGTGCTTGCGAGTGAACAATCTGCGCTACGCATCTCACAACCATATCTCTAATCACAGGCGACCTGAATCACATTAAATTAAATTATACCATAAATTATACCATAAATTGTTGGATATATTAAAATTTGGAATATATTGCAAAACTTTTATAAACATTTTACATAAATTATAACATGTCGGATTATATTCATTATATAATTGCGATTAAATTAAATTAATCAAAATTAATTAATTAAAAGAATCAAATTACCTATTTTTCTTCATGATGTGTTCAAATGGCCTAAGAAAATCTTTTTGGAATCTGAAATTGGCAAACTCGCCCTTTTCGATAAACTTAGTAGCTAGTTGTCTCAGAGAATCTACCGCAAAAAACGCGATATCCTGTCGAGGACTGCATCCCACCCTGTCGAAATGATCACCGAGGACTTGCCAGATTCTAGACCACTGCAACCTAATACGACCCATGTTGTAGTATGAGATTTCAACGATCTTCGTAAGAGAAAACATGCGCGGTTGCGTGGGATGTGCTAACTCCTCAAGGGATACCTGAAAATTATTTATCATTATTAAACATTTATTATATAATATTTTCATATTTATGTAAAAATCATTGATTGAACTTAAGAAAGAAATACCTGACAGAGAGCCTTGACGAACTCGACAATAGCATCACCATCGAGTCTCGTCGAGCGAACTAGTTTCGCCAATGGACTCCTTCACGCTAGGATCCAATGAGCTCAGATTGAGATTATTGGTTTGGTGCGAATTGGCAGAGTGCGCGAGACTGCTGAAATTTGCTAATGGCGAGGGGAAGTGCGGTTTTGACGGTGGACCCAGCAATTGTGGCCGTACTCCAGTGCCTATCAACTGTGCCAATTCTAGCTGGGAGATACATTTGACGACATCGAGCCATGAACTGCCTAGATAGTTGCCATCGGTGTGAGCTACTGTGATAAGAGTCTTGATAGTATCGATGTTCTTCGCTTTCATTTCGGTAATGGGGGAGTTGGCCGTCAACAAAGTAAATCTCGCTAAAGCTTGTACATAGGCATCGCGTTCGAGGCTCATGTGAAAGATGCAGGCGATGCGAATGGCACATCTAAAATAACATATAGGTAATATAAAACAACGAAAGCATAACATGATATAAATCTGTCTTTCTTCATTCTATGTTTTCTTCCTACCTGATACCATCTAAGCAGAGCGACGCAATCTCTGGATCGTCACAGTCTTGAAGTCCAACACTGAAGGCCGCGAGAAATGGCGTCCAGGCCATTTTGAACATTGGCCGCACGTGTTCCAAATGTTTCGCTGTAGTAAACGGTGCCTGAACATGACTGACAGATTCCATCAAATTTTTCGCCGCCGTAGAAATTACTTCCATTTCCATGTTCCATAACAACCGTCGCTTCTTCTCACTAGAAATAAGTTGTTTTCCAGCAAGTCGGCTATTATTAGGATTCGACTTCATCTTAATCTCGTTGCCGGCAATTTCATCGTAGATCCTAGACAGATATTCCTCAGGAAGATCCTCATTGTCACTGTTGCGCCGATTAAGCCTGATGAATGAAAGAAAAGAATAAGAAAAGACTTTTTATGATTAAAAAGATATGAAAGATGTATGAAAAAAATACATAAAGAGCACAATCACTATGCATTTTTATATAATATAAATTATTATATATTAAATATTTTTATAATTTTTTTTCAAGAACTTTCTTGCTACCTTGCTACTGGTATTTAATTCACAGATTTCAGGACACTCTATATATTATTAAAAGTATTAAGTATTATTTATATTAGAGATGTGCATAACAATTTGATCTCAGGCTGAGTTTTTAAGGTCAGGTGGAAGCTACCTTACATTTAAAAAAATGAAACTTCCTATTTTTTTTATTGCATATTCTCATAGCAACTGTCAACATTATTAAAACACTAATCATAAAAATTTTTCTAAAGAACGTCCTGAATTTTAAAATTTACTGCTGACAATTTAAATTATAAATTATAATTAACACAAACCGCTGAATGTACCTAATGTATTGTTCTTTGGTCATTTTATTCTTAACCTGCGGCGAGTGTAAATCGGTGGTCAGCATTATGATTGAAAAACCTAGAATATAGGCTGTATCCGCACTCGTAAAAAGGCCGTTATTAGGATTACACTCGCAATAGCGACTAGCAAACTTTTCCATCAATCGGTCGATCTTCTGTGCCTCGCCAGGTAGCCGAAAGCCTTCCAGGAAATACCTGAGCGCGGTTACTAGATCGCGATCGGCAAAATTCATTTGGTCAATATAATGGTACATTACCTGCAATAAACGGTATACAAAATTAGTCACTGTATTAGTCTAAATTAATTACCAACACAATTATCACGCAATCATAACGTGATCAGAACTAACAAATCATAGCCTATTTACGTATTTATAATTGAATCGGCAAGTGTGCAGAAAAGGGACGAGTCCAATTTTTTTCGAAAATAAGTTTTCTTTTCATTAATTTTAAATGTTATACTTTTGATGCAAACAGAATACTCTCAGGTTTTCAAGGGCATAAAGTAGATGTTGTAAAATAAAAATAAACAATAAGTGTAAAAAGGAAATAAATGCAAGACTTGCAAGATTGGAAAAATTGGAAAGTTACATCCCGTCAGAATAGCTCTTTTGATGAGATTTTTGAATGGTCAATGATTAAATTTAAAAAGCAACTAGAAAGATTTTTTGATAGTTTTAACTCCAAATTGTTTTGTATAAATTATCCCATATTTTTTTTAACATACAAAGAGACAATTTCAGATAAGTAAAGTATCTTAATAGCATACTATAAATTTTTTTAGTGCAGAAGGAACATTGAATGCAAAAAAGGGTGAGTCCAATCTTGAAGTTTAAGTTTTTCATTTAATAAAGCATTTTAGGAATTCATAATGTTTCAAAAACATTATTAAATATTATATTTAAATTAATTTTCTTAAAAGTAATTTTGTTAGTTTTTCACTGGACTAACTAAAATTAAACAGTTTTTTATTAATACTAAAAAAATTTGATAAATGGCTTGTCCCTTTTCTGCACTCAATGATTTAATTAATATAGTCTATTAATTGTAATTGTTCTTCTCATTACTTGATTATGATTATGGTCACCCAAAAAATCCCCAATGGCGGTTTTATCGAGCCGCTCGTCCAGGTGCAGCCACCTGGCTACATCCTCCTGCGAAGTACCAAGCAATCCTTGTTCCTGCAAATACTGCACGCCCTTGCCAGGCTTTCGGCTAAAGATCTCGATACCAGTCTCCCATACTTCTTTCTGTTGTTTCTGCACTTCATACTGCTCCGGCGAATCCGGTACCTCTTTATTACCGATTAAACTAGAATTGGCAGATGAGAGGCTGCCGGCGCTGCCATAACGTGGCAATGGGATTTCTGGCGCCGTATCTGGTAGATCTGACAATGGTTGTTGGTCCGCCGGTACACTGGGATTCACGTAGAGATCTCGACTCCACTCCACCATGCACTTCAGAATAGATACAAGGCATTCGAGACCACGGATACGCATAGACTTCTCCTGGAAAGACAAAATATTATATTAATTTAGATATCATTTTGTTGAAAAATATTCATTAAATAATGGGCATGTCCAGAGGAGGAGGAGGATTTAAACAATTCTCGAAGTTTTTTATTCACTCTTTCACTTTTAATTATAAAGAAATACAACTTACTTTTGATCAGTATATTTTCCGTTATTATATCAAATATTTACGATTAAAGCTTTGAACGAGTTTGATACATAAAGAAAATTTTTGCAAAATTTTGCATAAAGTTTTAATAATTGTATTTTGCTTGAATAAAGAACAATATAAATCACGAGACGTTAAAAATCAGCGCTAGAATGATATTGCGCAAAAATATAATATACAATAATATAAATATACATAAATTTAATCGATTCTCAACAACTTATTGTTCTGAACAAGTTGTTCAGAATCGATTAAATTTATGTATATTTATATTATTGTATATACTTTTGCGCAACATTGTTCTAACACTGACTCCTAACGTCTCATGATTTATATTGTTCTTTATTCTATTAATTAAAGGAATTCTTAAACTAATTATTACTTCAATTTATTATTATATTTTGTTTATACTTTTTTTTAGAAAATTTTGATACAAAACCTAATATTTTTTTCATTAAAAATTAAATAAAAGAGATATTCTGAGCTCTAAAATATCTAAAACAGCAATTCATTAGCACAAAAACTATTATTTATATAATAATAAAATTGATAATCCTTAGCCCTATGAAAAAAAAATACTGGATACACCCATACATCTACCTTGTCATTTTCACTGCTTATAACGTACCTGATTTGGTGACGCACCTAACTCTAAAGCCTGACGACCCTGAGCAATCTTAGAAAGATCATTGACAAGTCTCTCAAAGAGATTCGCTGCCGAGACGCTCTGAGCGTCTGCACAGATCCTCGTAAGTGCATGTATGACCATCCATTTATGCTCAAAGGAGCTGCTAGAAGTCTCGAGAATGTTCATAAAGATCTCCTTAAAAAATACCTCGATCTGCATCTTCAGGTGCATCTTGAAGCGTGCAAGCAACGCCAAGAATAATGCCAATGATAGTTCAAACACCTCTGGCACTGAAGACACACCATTCTTTGACAGTGCAACACACAAATACTGCTTAATGGCGATAACGAACATCTCGTTGGAACGTAATACCGGACCGGCATTCTGCAGGATTCCCAGAAGCAACTGAAGCGACAAGATCTTGGAACGGAGCTCATGCGATTTTGGATCAGGCGTGCCATCTGGCAGCGGTTTCATAGAGAGCTTGCAGAGAGCACGAAACACCAGAAATGCATCCTTTTGCAGCACATGAGTAAATTTAGCAGTAACCATATTGTCATTTTCAGCAACTGCCTCGTCACCATTGTCTTCAGGACTGCCATTTTCCAGATTGACTTCCTCTTCCAATGGCACCACGGATTTCACTACATCATCAAGGATACCTCTGACAATTATTTGGAGATCAACAGAATCATTACCAGGAACATTCTCTGAATTTAACTCGGTTTCAGTTTCCTGCTGATGCTCTCCATCGATTCTTATATTATCTTCCTCTGCCTGAGTCTCCATTCGCGCAAAGATCACATTAATCATCTGCGTAAGAGTTGCACGTGCTGTTGTCTGATTCACCAGGTTACGTGATGCCAAATAAACATTGTAAACCGTACGAATTGTCAACAGTACTGTACCCTCATGCACCTCCACATGCTGGCTTGTCATCACAGTCAGCAGAGCTTTAATAATCTGCAGCTGTACACCTTCGTCAGTTTGTGGACCAGTAAAGCAGCCACAAATTGTCTCGACAATGCGTACAATCAGTAGCTTATTAGGCTCCGTCGAATCGGGCACATTGCCAGTAAGATGGCCATATGCTATTAATTTCTGCAGACAGTCTAGTGCTGTCACCACGATACGTGGTGACTTGCTCTGGCATGCTAACTCAAACGGCAGGAAGTACTTCTCGGCTGTAATAACATTTGAGTCACTCTTGGGTTGTGGAAGGGCATTTGAGGTTACCTCTTCACCCTGTACAGCTGGTACGTCTTTGATCTCATTGCGGAGATCCTCTGCAAGGTAAGAATATAAAAGCAACAAATTCAATCATCAGTGTTGCTTCTAACTACAAATTGCATATATTATGCGAAGTCTTTCCTTACCAAGCGCAGACTCGCAGGACTTCCTGAGCTGCGAGAGGTGTGATCTTTTGACATCTCGATCAGCCAATATTTTTTCCAAAGCTCGGACGATAAACATCTCTCTAGTCTTGGAGTTATTTTGCATCATCACCCTACTCCCCACGCGGCAGCTCGAGATCCACGTTCGTTCAATGCTTGTCCCTCAATGCGTCAACATTGGAGCAAGTTAGCGAATGACAACATATGTGACTAGAGTGCACGGCTGGCTGCTGACCAACATCTTTCGCCACCTCCTCTATTACTATGCAATCCTTTCTTGCGAATCTGAGAATATTACACAGGCATCCGATGAACCAGGTCGCTGAGTAGTACAAAGCTAAGGAAAACTATTAGTATAAGATCACTCACCTAAGTGACAGAAATGACATCAATTTCTTTTCCTGAACAGCTCCTTAAGAACAGCACCGCGAATCGCGGCCTCCTCTAGAATTCGAAAATATTACGTGGCTTATGACATCGCCCGTCAGCACTTTTCAAACAAGATTCAATAGATCAAGACAACCATGGTCGGGAAACTGACGCAATTGACGGGTTAAAATACAAGCATAGGTTATGCAGTTATGTGTAGGACTACCTCACGGAGTAAAAACAAGGAGATCAAACCGGATCAAACTCGAGGATATGGTGTAAGAATAATAATAGGTGATTCCAATCATGTAAAATCACTGTGATTTTCCAGAAAAAACTCCGCAGTTGAACAGCAGGTGGCGCATAAGTATAACACCTAACCTCATAAGCCCGGGAAAAATGTTTTACAATAGTAGTAATTATATAAAATTATATATATATATTAGGTGTTGGAATTGGCATTAAGTGTGTATTAAAACGCCTCATGGCATAAAATCAGAAGCAGTGCGTAGCGCTCATTCTCAACCTAACTTTTTCCCGCCATACGTCCTTCGTCGTGGTTGGTAACCACCGGCGCCATATTGCGTAGCACGCGATCCAATAGCCACAGGTTTTCAGACCATTATGCCCTCTAGTGTTACGTGTCTGAACTGCCTCAATTTCGTCACAGCTTTTCTGAGCAAAAATGGGCGAGTGAACTCACCTATTATTCTTACACCGTGATCATGATTAGTTGTTTAGGATTGAAAATGTTGAAAATTTTAATATATTTTATATATTTTACTAATGTATACATATATACAAATATATATAATATATTTCTATATATGTATACATGTGTAAAATGTGTAAAATATAAAATTCTATATATGTATACATGTGTAAAATGTGTAAAATATAAAATATTAAAATTTTCAACATTTTCAAAAATTTGACATATTTACTAGTGACCGTTATTGAAGCTATATTTGACGCGCATGCGTCTGAAACCCGCCCCGTCTAAAGCTCCCCCTCTAAAGATCACGGATGAAGAAAGAATTGACCAATCGCAATGGTTATGTGATCAAATTGTTCAAATGTGATTTGTTAATTTTTTTCTTTGTCTAAGATCTCGGACCGATTTCTAGCATCGTGGACACAAGACTTAACAACACTGCATGGTACACCAAATGAGTTGGCTTATTACCAACCATGGAAACATGATACACTATCTGAGTGTTGCATTGATGGGCGATAATGAGTATGTTCTCTTTTTATTGGCAGTGCAATGACGTCATCATGACGTCACAACAATGCACTGCCGTAGCCGTTCCAAAATTACTGTGATACTTCCAGCACTATTGTAACGTTGTATTTCGGAACAGCTTTGCAATAGACTGGCAGTAGTGTAAACAGACATGGATAAACTACTAAATTGTCAATAAATTTTGAAACAGCAAGAACGATAGTACTTCCGAAGAAGATAAACTAATTATGGAATCAATGGAGCAATCAAGCAGTTTGACCTCGTGAAAAACTACATGGACACATCAATGAATATTTAGACGTGGAATTTAAGAGTCATTTGTGATAAAATAAATATATGTGCATCTTCTGCAGTTAAATATAATGTATATATTTTTTTATTTCCTGGATCGAATATTTCGATGCGTTGTGTTTTTTTAAGCGACGCCATATTGCATTGTAACTACCTCACCTCGAAAGTCGCAATAGTCGCAGTGGCAATATGGCTATCATTTATGTCATTGAGAGAATTAGATGCTATTGTAGTAATAGCGGAACAATTTTTCAGTACTGCCAGTACTGGCAGTATCAAAACACACCTAATATGAGTATTCATATCCGCCATTTTTAGTCTTTTCTCGCTCTTTTGTGCTTTTCCTCAATCCCTTGCTCTCTCTCCACTTCGCCGCTAAATTAATAGCGTTTTCTCTTGGCTGGCACTATCATCCACTAGTGCAATACTTAGACAGTGACCTAGTTTCCACCGAGGGTTTAATCCGAATCAGAATGTAAGAATAACTACTAACCAACTAGAGTCGAGTATTCCTCTGTTACAGTCAAACGAGGGGAATGCTCGACTGTAGTTGGTTGATTCTTACATTCTGATTCTGTTTAAACTCTCGGAAAGTAGGCTAATGTACCGTGTTTCTATAGCTGGTGTAGTACAAATTTTATGCACGAAGTGGAATTTTGCTACCTCGAAGATGCTACCTTTTAAAGGAACAGTAGAAGTATGACATTCAAAAATTTGAAAATGGAAGTCAAGTGAGAACAGAATTTTAGCGCAATAGTGATGTAGTGCACACCATGGTATGCACCACTTTAATGTAGTGTAGCTGAGTGCAGCACTTACGCGCAACTGATGCGGTGCGAGGCTGCACCCAAAAGAAAACGCTATAAGAAGATTAAAGAGAACTGGCTTAAAGATCTGTTTTTTATGACATCTGCACACTGGACGCGGAAATACTTGTCGCGCACAAAAATACGATAGCCAATAAGCTTATAGCTCCTAATGTGTTCATTGGTTACCGCTAGAGTCCTAGGTATAACAGAGAAGCGCAATTGCTGTCCCAATTTCTGATTGGTTCCGCCATTTTTTCTACGGATAGTCTTTTAGGACTCTAGTTTCGATAAGTATCATTATTTTTAAATCTTGATATGTATCCTGTAGTCTCCAAAGAGAATCAGTATTTCTTTGTAGTCAATAGAAACACTACTGTTATAGGAGTCGCACTCCGTTTGCGGAATGACAGATATAAACAGGTCGTCATTTTTTCTTTGGACGATTAATTACAATATAATCTTTAAATATACTCGGTGTTTTTCTGTTATATCGAGGACTCTAATTAAGGGCTTCGCATAATAAAAGAAATAGGGAACAGAGAACAGAAAATAAGAATTTCAACCTATCAGAAATTATGTATTCCACAATACATGATTTCTGATAGGTTAAAATTTTTATTCTCTGTTCTCTGTTTCCTGTTTTCCTTTTATTGTGCGGAGCCCCTAAAGGAGGCAGGTGTCATTAAAATAAGAAGATTAATTCAGCGTATTTTTAGTAAATTTTGTGGTGGACAGTGTCTTTTTAACATTTACCCAACCATTATTATTAGAACAAGCAATAATTGTGCAAAAATTTTCGTAAATGGGCGAATCTTTTCGACGAGAGGTTAACTATTGTTTAGTTAATGCTTATTCTATACATAATAATTGTGTTAAGGCTACTGTATCTTTATTATCAATATTTTTAGATTATAAATAATTATACAATTTAGCATACACATCTCCAAAATCAATAAAATCATTAAAAAATGCGTCGAATAAGCCTAATTTGATCGATTTTTAAAGTATATATGCTAAACTGTATAATTATCAGATTATATGTTGGGTTTTTAAGATTATCTAACTGTTGGGTTTTTTAATTAATCTAAAAAATTCATATCACAGTATTTTTGGATGTATCTAAAAGAAAAAAATAATATTTGTAATATCGGGAAGTGCTGGGAAATTGCTTACAACAATAAATAAAATGTCATAATATGTATTGCATATGAAACATTATGTTTTAGTTTTCTTTCTATATGATTAGACTTGTATATATTTTAATATCTACATAAATATAGGTACATACGCTCATTTTTAAATGTATTTTTGTACGTATTTATGCACAATAATTATGTTTGATAAAAAATTTGTTATTTTTTAAAATAATTTTTTATGACTTATTTATGTTTGTTCTTGTATATTTTTCGTATATTTTTAGTATAAAATAAATGCATTATTTCTTGAATGCAATATTTGTGGAATTACTTATAAGTTTGCATGTAAATAATAATAATAATTATATATATGCTAGCTTGTTTGCAACTTAATTCGCAAACTAAATGCTCTCATCATCTTGTTGAAATAGAGAGAAAACAAAAAGAAAAAATGCTAGGGTAGCATCACTGCTGTGAGGAAAAAGATGCATAAAAATATCTAAAGTACAATAAAAATAAGAAATTAAAATAAGTTAAAAAACGAAAAAAAGATAAAATGGGGCCAATAATTATGTCCTCGTCATTGATTCTGGATTAGACTTGTAGAAATCAGAGTAACATTCTTTAGAAGTATTTTTCCAATGCTTCCCGATATTATAAATATTATATTTCATTTTCAAGTACATTAAGAAATATTATAGAATTAGTTTTAGATGTTGACTGGGGCAAATTTTGGCCATTTTTAGGCACCCTTTTATTTTTTTACAATAAAGTATGAATGCTATTCTAAATGTAATAGATGTAATTTGCGTTTTTAAATTATAGTTAGAAACACTACATAAAGCACTATTTAAAGTGCATAAATATGTTAGAAATTTTAACAATACTTGAAGACATTTCTTGATAGGTATAGCATTTGTAAGTTTCAGTAAGAGTGCTTCAAGTTTTATTTAAAAAACAAAGGTTCAGGCAAATGTAAACGCGATAATTAGAGCGCAATAATCTTGTAAGATAATTTTTAGTGTTTCTTCTTATACATGAGGTTCAATTCGATTTAGAATCTTCATCAGCGACTAAGTATTTACAAATTAATTAGAAAACGTATTTTCTTCCAATATGTATGGTCACTACTGGATTGATAGGACAGATCTCGAGTGAGGTAATTCCATTTGATTATGATTTTTAATTTTAAATTTTAAAATGTAAATGTTAATTGAGGAAAACTGAACATATATGAGTGTCTAAATAATATAAATATAAACTGAATCATATGGCTTACTATAAAAGAAAAAAGAGCGTTTCACATAAACAGAAAAGACTTAATCATTTTATTTTATTGTCGCATCCCAGATTTCATGACAAGAATATTAGATTTATTTTAAATGCGTTACTTAATAATGACTAGCCTCCAGATATTATTTTTGAAACTATAAATATAAAACTAAAAGCTCTTTTTAACAAACGGATGAAGGTACAATGTGTATCCACAGATGCTCCGTAAGAAGAATCTCCTTTATTATGGTTTTTATTCCTTTATTTCTGATAAATTTAAGGGCATTATCAAAAATTTGAATATGAAATTAGCACTTTATAGCATGAATAAACTTAGGAGGTTTGTTAAAAATCTACAAAGACGTTCTTCCAAAAGATTATAAAAATGTTGTATATAAAATAGCATCGTATGTTTCGAATGTTTTTTGAAAATTACAAAACAAATTACACTGGTATACGATGTTATTATTGATACACGATATTAAGATGTATTGAATTAACATGCACGTAGCCACATTTTATACTGTTGCTCCTTATATACAACTCCTATTTCAACATTCTTCTACTCCTTTATTACATTCAATTGTCTTTGATCTATTTTTTTAATGGTTTGATTTCTCTTGTTAGTTTAAAATAAAGTAACACTTTTCCTAATTCTATTGCTCATGGTAGAGCGTGATGACTTCTCTGCTATGCCTGTGGTACGCACGCTGGTTGTACATTGTAGTCGTATGGAATCTATCTACACTCATTTATCTAATGTCGATTCCGAAAGACGAACTAATAGAGAAATTTCCAAGGAAAGTGGTTTGCCATTGCTTTCTAAAAGGAGTTACGAATGTATACAAATTTTCGGTTCTGCCGGGGATTGAACCTGAGATTTCTAGTATAGCAGACTAGTGCGTTGTCTGTCACACTCATAAAATGGAGAAAAAAATCTTTTATCGCATTTATACTTATTCATAATCAGACCTTATATTTAAGGATTCTTTAAATTTATCTTTAGATGCTCAATAGCTAATAAAATAATTCGTAGAGCATCTAAAGATAAATTTAAGGAAGCCTTAAATATAAGGCCTGACTGTGAATAGCATTTGATACTCATATTTGTTCAGTTTTTTTAATTCACATTTACGTTTGCAGAATTTAAAATTAAAATTCATAATAAAAAATTACCTCTTGGAATCTATCTCCTGTAGTGGCCATACACATTTAAGGAAGAGATATTTTCTAATTAATTTGTAAATACTTAATCGCTGATGAAGACTCTAAACCAAGTCAAAACGTACAAACCTCATGTATAAGAAAACAAACACTAAAAATCATCTTAAGTCTTATCTCTGTAAGACTACTCTCTAATTATATCATATTTATACTCTCATTTGTCTGAATCTTTGTCTTTTAATTTCGAAAGTCACTAGGAAGTTATACTTCTTATATTTCTGTTGCTTTTCAGTTTATTTATTTCTTTACTTATTCGTTTACTTTAAAGATTATAATTATTTTCAGATTTTGCGAGTCTTCAAGAAACTTCATAGAACAAGATTAAAGACATTTAAAGACGATGAATATGCATTACAAGGTAATATACTTTGTCAGTAATCTACACTCTAATATAATGATAGATCTTTCAATAAATAATATTTTATTATATTGTTCATTAGTTGTGAGAGATCAGATAAACAAAGAATACAAAAAACATAAAAATGTCACAAACCAGGCAGTGATTAAGGAGGTATATTCCTTTGTTTTAAATGTGCATATAATATGCAATGGAAATGTTATGGACAGACTTCATACATATATCTAAACTTATAAATGAAACTTGTACAGAAATATTGTGTTATTATTATTTCAGTTAAATAAATTTGCTCAGGAAGTCGAATGTGAAATACGAACGACTGTCATACAAGCGGTCGAAACGGCACCTGGAAGAGTGGGTAATTATCATTAATTCCGAGTAATAAATAAAACATTAATTGTGTTAGATAATTTTATATCGAATAAGCAAACTTAAATTATAATTTCAGCGCTGCGACTTACTCCAGATGTCTTGGTAGATAACGTGCCATATAAGGATCAAAAAGATGATAAATTAAGCAAAGAAAGCAAAGACTAAAATTGAACTGCTCACAATCTATGGTATTGAAGGACATCGAACAGGAATAAGAATCAACTAAAGTTAGTTATGAATAGTTATTACAGTGAAATCACTTAGACATCTGATTATTTAAAATTAAAATTTGTAAATAATGTATTATATAACATGAAAAACACATGTTTAGTGACTTAGACAAACGCTATTTCATTTCATAATTAATCTTTATTTACAATAATAAGATTACAATGGGGACGTTTAAATTATGTAGAAGCCTTTGGTGGCTAAATCATTTCCTTCTTGATATCATAGGCTGTTTCTACACCTCGTGTTAAATTCATGTATTTTGCATAAACTATGTATTTCCCTCTTCCAATCTCATTCTGAAACATAAGGAAATTATTTTATATTTATTTCATCACCACAATGGCTTTAAATGTCTCACCTTTTTCATATATTTTGTGTAATTATTCACGTGTACAAGAAGTAAGAATTGTGTAGTATAGAGGCAAGTATAATCTGTACTCGAGAATTTAATAAGAAGGAAGAGGACTCAGTACATAAAGAGAGTCTTTGGAGCGAACCTGAAGGAATGGATTTCAATAAAAATAGCATCTTTTCTCAGAAAAAAATAAATTTTTAAATTTTCTCGTGAAATTGATTTTGCGAGATTTATTTTTATGCATTCTTTAATTCTATAAAAAAATTTTGCAATTCATGAAGCTAATTCGGAGATTTCCTAAAATAACGTAATCGTGATAAAACAAGATAACTTTAACTCTCAACTACATGAGTGGGTTATTTGAACCCGGGTGAAAATTTTGTCGTCCGCTATTTTTATACGGTTAATATTACAGACTTGAAGTGAAGGGGTAAAAAAAACTTGAATCCTTTCTCTGTCGATCGCCGTGATGCAATTGTTTCGTTGTTTTCTTGATGCTAATTGTGATGCAATAAAAGTTTGGCTTGGGCCTGTCAAATGTAAATTCGTCAGATTTTTTCCGAAAATAAAAAAGCATTTTTGTGAGAGGTGCATTAGTGAAACGCTTTATTCTCTCAGAGTTATAAAATCGTGAGTAAATAATTTCAAAATTATTATATTTTTAATATAAAATATTTTCATTGCATTTTTAAAGAAAAAAATAACTGACATATCTTCGATATCATTTTTCCGAGCATGTATAAAAATACTCCTACTTCAATCGCGCAAATAATTGTACTTTTTGGAATGAATCAATATAACGTATTTTTTTCTTAAAGTTCACATTTTTCTTTTTTCAAAACACTTTATTTTTATCATAAAAATATGATTCTGAAAAAAAACTGATTATTTTTATATACATTATTTTTACATTCTTCATAAATTGTTTTTTATTATTGGCATAATTTTTTCAATTGTTATTAAAACCTTTCTATATTTTGATATTTCGATTCTATATATTCTAGCATTTCATTAAAAAAAGAATATTTTCTATTAAGATTTGTGATAGAGCCAGTCAAAAACGCCATGGATGACTTGAACTCAGACACGTAGTTGAGAGTTAAAACACAGTATAATCATACTCAGTAGCGACAGTGAACTTTTTTGTGGTCTGCAATTTTTAGTGCGCATGTATTGGTTTGTACACTTAGGAATATAGCGAATGTGTTAGAAGCTTAATAGAAATTCAAATTTAAGAGCCTGTCCTATTATAACTTTATTATGTACACTTCACAACATGGCGGTGAATCATGTGACCTAAGAACACTTACATCAAAGGTGTCTACGTTCAGTGTCGCTGGGTATGATTATACTGTGGTTAAGATATTTAATATAGTGAGAAATGTAATATAATGATGCCATTTTCTGAAAAATGAATTGATTCATATATTGAGGCCATGATTTTTTAAATCATTTAAGGTCATGATTTTTTTAAATCGATTCAAAGAGAAAATCAAAGAATTGAATTATTGAATCTGTTATTATTAAATATACTATGCTTTTCAAAAAAAGAAACGCAAAAAGAAGCATGGCTTTTAAAAGAAGATAATATAGTGTGGCAAACAAAAATAAATGGATAATTTTTTTATTATATTCATTCATTTTTGTTGTTCGTATTGTTGTTGTCAATCATTTCTTTTCCTTTGTTTAACAGTTTTTAGTCTGTCTCGATTTCCAGATGGGATTCTTACAGAGAGACATGTCGTTAAACAAATTAACAAATAAAATTGATTGATTCTAAGAACTAATCATATTCAATTGCTTGGCAACCACATTATATGGGTTGTATTCCAAAATTTTACTGCCAGTACCGAAAATCTATAGTGTACGTGACGTAAACTATAGATTTTTAGTATTTGCAGTAAATTTTGGAACATAGCTATAGATATGCATTTAATATTACAAACAACAATTGTTGCTTTCTATTTACATAGATTCTTAGATAATTCTCACTTGTGACGTCATAATTCAGTTGAATGCACGTTTCTTTTGCATTCTGACAAGTGAGATTTAATTGAGTTTTTGCCTGTAATCTGCACAAGATCGAGACCGTGTGCTTTAGAGAATCTTGTAAACTCACTTTAAAAATGAGGCTCAAACCTGTGTTATCATGTGATAACTTTTTATCAAAGTAAGCAAATAATGACGTCATTAATCTGAGTATCAAACTCAGCTCTTTAGACCCAGTTTCACTTGTATGCAAATGGAAAGCAAGTAAAAAGTACTATCTCTCACTGAGCGCTCAATAAGTTCTTATATCTTATTGACATATTAGGTCTAAAAATATAGAATCGAACAGATACATGAACTCATTGAGCATTTAGTTGAGCGGTTGTCGTTCTGAATACACTCATTGAAAGTTCTTATTGGTGTATTCTTCTAGATAAAATTCTGATTGGATGAGTTAAAAGAATACACCAATAACAGTGAGCGCTCACTCAATTGTTAAGTCCGTTGAATGCGCCCATTATCTCTTCAATTCTAGCTAAAAAGCACTCTAATCGACAATAAATTGAATTTCTCAGAATCGGCTTTTCAATTCTTGAATGTGAAAAAGAATCAACTCTCAATGCATTGAATTAGAATCTAGCATCACTAAAAAAAAAAACAAATGTAGTGAATGTTAACTACTATTGCTGAATCCTATATGGAGATCTTACACATGCTCAGGGTGACTCCGAATCTGGTCGATCAGATCCGCCGGGCGCAGTTGACCAGTACAAATACGATGCACTGCAGTAAACAGCGGGAACTTGTCCGTCAAGTTACGCGCCTTCAACATATCGTGGACTTCGTCTGCCGTTGCTGGCCCTTGTAGTTTCTGCCCGGACAGCAGTTCATCTTCCAATGCTTTGATAGTCTATATAATATATTAATATATTAGGTGTAGTAAAAAGAAATCCATTATTTTTCCAATAGATGGCTTTAGTAATTTGTATCACGCGTAGACGAGACACAGATATTAATATTAAATGTTACTTAGAGTGCATTCTATTTTCACATTCACACGCTGCAGACATCAGTTCATCCTTGTTGTCAATTATAAAATTTCTCTGTAAGACATAAGAAATTCAACCAAGAAATTCAAATCAGAGTTCTTTATTTCATAGAAAGAAAGGAAATGAAAGATTTCGATTGGTACATTTTCTTATGCATTACGTGTTATGTGTTATGCAAGAGTCTATGCTCCCTGCTTTAAGATTTGGCTTTTAGCAGTATTTTGAAAACCGTTGTCGAAGTGTGCACAGGCGCATTACTACAAGTTACATCCATTTGGACGAAATATTAAGGGAGCATTTAAGTTTTTAATCCCAATTAAAACGAGTTTGTGAGAATCACTATATTTTATCACTATACAGTCAATCGTACAGATAAATAGAAATTCATAAAAACCTACTAGAATCTCTCACCTTGCCAGTCTTGACAAATTGTTCACAGACTCTGCGATTTCTTCCTCCGTAACAAGTAGTAATCAAATCCGCAATGCCGCAGCTCTCGAAGAATGTAGAAAGCTTAGAACCACTGTAAAAAGTGTCGACAAACTTGACCATCTCCATCAGTCCTAATCGAATCACCGCAGCTTTCGTGTTGTCGCCTAATCCGAGGCCGTCTACGAAACCAGCTGCACACGCTACAATATTCTATAACCGAAATATGTTCAGTTTGATAAACTAATGAGCAAAATGGAGAATAAAAAGTTGTAGAAATGTCAATTAATAAGATCATGAATACAATAACAAAACAGTATTGAGAAAATACAAGTATTATTTAAATATATACGAAATTAATAAGATAATTTGTAACATAAAACTTTCTTTGAAGTTTCTACTTGCCTTTAGAGCTCCACATACTTCCACAGTCTCGCAATCCTCCACGACAACTACTCGAAAGTTTGGAGTTTGAATAAGGTCCCTCAGTACCGGTGCCAATCTTTTGTCCTTGCACCCTATAATTTTCTAATCTTTGAATGATACCTTGATGAAAAATATTTTCACAATAATCTGCTAACATATTTTTAATAAAGAATTTTTATTATTTTAAATTTATGAAGATTTCTGAAAAAAAATACTTTAAACTTTTTTAAATGTTATAAGATTTTTTCAGAAATTATAGAATGAGACATTCTAGAATATTTCGGAATTTAACTATACAGAGTGTCCACCAAACCACTTAAACATCTTTCGCAGGATAAGGACCAATCAAAAATATGTTCAAAGTTTTAATTAATAGTTTAGGGTTTCATGAATTCTTCGCTTTAAAAATATAAAAATTATATAAGGAAATAATTTATGTTTGTAAAGCAAAGAATTTGTGTTTTTAAAGCAGAGAATATGTATGTACTTAAAAATATTTACCGATTGTGGTTTCACAGAATTTCTCCTCGGCGACTTCATTGGCCAAGTTGGCGCCCATTAAAACGTTGCATTGTATTTTCAAATGCTTTTCGATGATTTTGGAGATTAACTCAATACTGTTTCCTTCACCTCGACCAAAACCCTTCAATTCAAATTGGCTAACTTAATCTAAGAGCATAAAAACAAAAAGAGTTAAAACGTACCTTAATGAGAGAAAGGCCAACTACAGTTGGTTTTATGTTATCCAACAGCGTTGAACATAATGTGCGAATAAACTGATGTGGCAAAACGAAGATGAGGATGTCGGCATCTTTCGCTGCCTCCACAACGTCGGGCACGGCAACCTGAAAGAATATTCAGAAAATTTTATAAAAATTGACCAGTATTTTTGTAAATTTGTTTCGTTTCAAAATAATTCGATTATAGATAGATTATAGATAGATTATAAAGAGACATTATAGGCAAGAATTGAAATATATATCCTATAGGAATTAATGCCTTAAACGGTCTAACTGAATCTTAAGTGCTTGTATAATTCTATGTGACATACTACGTATGTTGTCCTTTAAAATGCACGCCGAAATAATTTTTCGGTCTTGAAAATCCAAATTCTATTAAACTACCGCAGTAATATCACGAGTTAAATTAACTAACAATTTACCAATTTGATGTTTTTTACATTTTAAAACGATCTTAATAATGCTGAGTGACATATTAAAATCTGTAAATAATTAATTCTTATTGCGAAAAATATTGCAGTCGGGAGTTGAACCCGGATCTTTTGCATTCTGTGTGAGCGTCCTAAGCCTTTAGACTACCGAGATCTTAGTAATATTCTTCACAACAATTGGCATATGAAGAAACAACGTCGTGAATTAACGAAAAATTCACTTTCAGCGAAGTTTCAGCAAATTTTTAGCAATTTCGCTGAAATGTTCCAAAATATAGAATAATTTCAGCGAAACTTTTTCACCAGGAAACACATCTATGATAGAAGTTACGCTACAATTTAAAAAAAATCGTACACCTAAGTAAATATTTTTATTCTTAAAGTTTTTGTTTTATAATCGTATATGATTGTCTAAGATTTGATTTTTATTTAGATAGTAAGTGTGGTTCTTACCTAATAAGGTAAGATAGGTCCAACAGATTTTTTTTGTTTATGTGTTTTTGTTATCGTATTGTTAATGTTTTGAAAAAATGAACGGATGCGAATAGTAGACTAATCACAGAATGGGACTGTATGACTCATTTAATGACGATTTTTATAGTATTTACTCAAAATTTTATTCCTTTAATGAGATTCGCCTTAGTAAATGTTATAAGTATTAGAGCTCCCTCATATTCACAGTCTCGAAAATTAGGCTTATTCGACGTATTTTTGCACAAAACGAACAAATTTTGCAAAAAGAAGTATTGTTTTGCTCTGCGAAGCTAATGTTTGTGTTTAAAATATATTTTTATAAAAGTTATATTAATATATAGCCAAAGATGTAACTCAAAAATACATTAATCCTCATTTTAATCTTAGCCAAATTATCCCAGTCCTGAGACTAGTTGAATTAGATGGAATGCACTAGAAAAATACATTTTTTTCATATTAGTTATCAGTTTCTCCTTATTATTAAAATATTATTAAGTAGTCAAATGTATGTAGTAACTGGTATAGAATTCATTTTTTCGATAAGTCTCTTAAGACTTCGTCTGTAAAAATTCGAAACTGAAAAATGATCTACTAGCCCCGATCTCCCCCATCGTAGCATATCGTAGTATATCATATTAGGTGTTGGAATTAATTCGTAGCGTTTTTAATGAAAGAATGTTATTTATTTCATATGAGCATTAAAAAATACATTAATGAAAGTACTTCCCATCACTTGTAAAACGCTACGAATTAATTCCAACACCTAATAGTATATATAAATTTACACAAAATTATGATATACAAGCACTTAAGATCCAGCTAGACATTTAAGACGTTTAAGACATTGATTTCTATAGAATATGTTCTCACATATACGACCCTATATATTATTAATTCCTGTAAGATATTGTATATATTGAAATATATATCTTTCAGTATACAGGATGTCCCAGAATGACCGCCAAATATTTTGTGCGCAGATAGAATGGACTAAACAGAGTCGGAAAGTTCTCTATCATTTTACAATTTTTGCAATAATTATAACGAGATATTAATTTTTAAAGATGAAAGTACGTCCACCCAGCTTCTATTCAAGCACTATTTCAATGCATTATTACGAAAATATTACTGAGATATTACATTGCAAAATATTATAAGATAATATTTCAATATTGCAGTAATTTTACTGAAATATACTTATTTAAATATTTCAATTAATAATTATCATAAGTGGCTTAAATAATTTTTCAAATCAACTGTTATTCTTTTCCCTTTATTTTTTCTACAATTGAACGTAGATTAAAGTTTCATATACATAATAAATATATTACACATAATTCACATGAGAAAGATAAATATTTTACGATTCCTTATGTCAAATCTATTTCTGAAAATTTCCTTCCCATCTCTAGTATGTTTTATTGTAAATTAGCCTTTTCTATTCCCAACACATTAAAAAGTTTTATAAAAAGAGGAAAAGATAAGCTTGATTTCCTATCCAATCAGAATGTTGTTTATAAGATCTCCTGTGATGATTGTGAGGCGAGTTGGTCAGACAAAAAGAAAATTGACGAGATTACGCGAACATATTTCTGATATTAGAAAGAATAGGTTCTCCTATTGTCATAACTAATCATCGAATTAATTTTGATCATAATTTTAAATGGAAACGATGTGAAAATTTTGGACTGCGAATCTTCTTATAATAAGAGATTGGTGTTTGAAATGATTCATATTAAAAGACAGAAACAGAGTCTTTTAAGTCTTTTAGACAAAATGATATCGAATCTTTACCTGAAACCTACTTACAGATCATTCAATCTCTTTCTCCTTCTTAACTGCTTTCTTTTCCTATCCCACTTTCTTATTTTATTCTCTTCTCTCCCACTTTCTCTCCCCTCTACTTTATTTTCTCCTTCTTATGTTACTTTCTTTTTAGTTTACCGTTTCAACTTTCCTGTCTTTATATGTATACTTTACTTTATTTCTTAACTTCCTAGAGAGATGATCAATTTCGATTCCCATCGCATCGTTATCTAATCGATAACACATTATTTTGACACACATAATAAGGTATTTATTCTAACTTATCTGTACTAAACTCAATATATATATAATGAATGACGGCATTTTACACTTTCTCTATCGACATTAATAACTCTTATGTACATGTTTTATAATATCAAAAATAATTTTTGCCTCTTTCTTTTAATTTAAATTTAATACTTGCGACTTGTTTTGTACTTTTCTTTTTATTATTTGCGACTCGATTTATACTTTTCTTATTATTTTTATTTTTATTCCTGTCGTAATTTATTATTACATTTTGTACTTGCTAACAGAAACATGTTCGTCCTTATTCTACATAAACAATCCGGAGGAACACATTGTTGTCAACTACAATTTGTATAGTTTTCTTTTCATTTTGGAGCGAGTTTTATAGTTGATACTGCGTCCGAGAGCGAATTTTTTATTTAATTTTTATATATTTTATCTACGTAACATTTCTATTGTTATCTTTGCGTCACATTGAAAATGATCCAACAAGGATCGAAACGTTTGTGTTTGTTCACTTGCTGACGGTCAAATTAAATTTCATGTTTTTTAATTTCATGACATGTTTTCATTTTTTAACTATTTAATACAAATTTGTTATTTTATGATGATTGTTTTATGATGATTGTAGGTTCATAGCCCTTTGTTCTTTTTATTTATTTTAATTTATTGAGCCTTATTACTTTTATAAATAAATTGTATTATTTATGACAAGCTACGCTTAAACCGGCCACTGGGACATTTATCTTATTTGTTTTTCGAAATGTTTTTAATTAATCTTTATTTTTTTAAAGATAGGAATTGCTTCCTTCTTAGGCTTTTCATTTTCGTAAAACAAATTTCATCCATATCAATGTCAAAGAAGCAACGTTTATTCATTCGATAACAGTAAAATGGATAACGGATGGAGATACAATATCTAATGGGTGTAATGTTTGAATGAGTTGCATCATGTTATAGGAACAATCTGATCACTGTATATAAAGCGCATGAATAAGCGTAAGATTGGTTGTCAAGTCAGTGCTTAGCAAACCTCCCGCTGAGATAGACGACCATAGTACGTGTAATTTTTCTATCAAGTATTCAAGGACAAAGCAGTAATGAGGCTGAACTCTATCGTACCGAATTTTAAAGTCGATACCACGCAAGGTCCCATCGACTTTTATGATTGGCAAGGCAGTTCGTGAGTGACACATACATATTATACATATATTACATATAGTAATATTTTGTTTATTATGATATATGCATGTAATACGATTAAATAATAGCTATATATTAGCTAGCAAAAAATTGACACATTACATTACTATTCACTTAAATATCTCACGTATTTATTTTTGAATATTTAAATTTCAAAAATGTTTTGAAAATGTATTAATAACACAACGGAAATAAAATGAAAGTTCTTCGCGAAATTTTATTTCACATTACTAATCATGAACTTGACTTTGTTATGCAATCAAGTTCAATGTAAAAGTCTGCATCGTAAATATGACAAAATATAAGAAAATATGAGGTAACGCCAACACAAATCACTGATTACAAAATTAATTTTAGTTTTACGAGACATCTTATCGGGTTTATTTTTTTCGAGATAATTGTCCACCGGTAAACATATCCGGAAGTTGCGAAATACATTATCATAGAACTGGCACGAATAATAAATATCTGAATTTGCATTTATCCATTGCGTAGTTCGCAGCAAAGTGCATGATCCAAGAATAGATCTCTCTAGCGTAATAAAAGTCAACAACAGGTTGTTGAAGATAACTATCTGTTATTTTCAAGGCAATTTTTAATTCATTGTAATTTCCGAGCAGTTATTAATTTATAATACGAACGATTTAGTTGACATATTGAATGTGAATTACTTGCCTAGTAAAAAGGTTCTCATATTTTTAAGAATTTTTCACATTTTAAATTCATGAATATTTCTAAAAAATCTTAAATTTCTTTAGATTTTATAAGTTTTCTTCAGAAATTATAGAATGAAAAATGAGAGAGAGAGAGAGAGAGAGAGAGAGAGAGAGAGAGAGGGAGAGAATATTTCAGAATTTATGTATACATTAAGAATTCTAGGAAAAAATATAAACTTTTAACATTATTAAAAAATGTTTCAATTAAAAAAAGTACTCAAAAAATTTTTTAAAAAGTTATAAAAATTGTGATCCATTTTGAAAAATTATGTGAAGAATTCTAAAAAAAAATTACATTAGAATTATATAAGAAATTTACTATTAATTTTATACAAATAGTAATTTTGTTATCAAGTTTATTAATTTTACATATATATCAATAGTTCGTTAGATTAATTTGTATTAAATAAAATTATTTGCGCAATTGCGTAAGTGAATAAATATTTTTTGAAAGTAAAGATAAGAGTAATTATAAAGAATTGCAAGCGTAATGAATTGCAAACGCTCGGCTCGTTCGTATTTGCATTGAAGAATCAAAGGACATGAGCCGAAATAAATGTATATTGCTACAATGGAGTTCATGGTATAATGCCAAAACCAGTACTCGACTACATCAAGTGCTTGTCATTGAAAGATAGCCTCGAGTCAGCGTAATTGTGTGCCTCGTTATATTATTTATTTTTGATAAGCATTAATTGTATTTTTGATAAGCATTAATAGAAGTGATTACGGTACTTCTCAACGAAAATTCGTATATGGTATATTTAATTATCGATCAAAGTTTTGAAATTATCTGGAATTAATTCCAATCAATTTTTAATTTTATATCAATATATATTGGAATTTTTTTCATAAATATTCTGATAATAGGACATTTATAAAATTATATCACATGATGAAATCTTGGATAAAATTTGTAATCTGCAATTACGTGGATATATTTATAAAAAACAGATGTAGAAACTCTGATCGTTTCTAAAATATTGATAATTATTTGTGCAATTAATTTCAATATAATATTTCGGTAAAACAATAACGATACGGCGAATTTTAGGCATATTTGTCAAATTAAATTTAGAAAGAAATTATTTAATAATTTAGAAAATTATTTTAGCTGTATTTTAAAAATATAATTGTGCTTATATAAGAGTGCACATATTCCTAAATATAATATTATAATTAAGTATTATACATTCAGCACATGGCTAAATCTAAAGTACAATATTAGAATGGCTTTTGAGATACATATAAATCGAATTTTCGGAAATGTTCGTCGAACATTTGAAAATATAATCGGATAATGTGTTAATTTGTTTCTTTAATCTGTTTGTTGCCCGTGTCTTATTCTTAAAAGAAAGTAAATAATAAAATATTTACATTTTAAATTGAATTTGTCTAATTCTTGATAAACATCATTAAAAAAAATGTTATTCTGACAAAACTATTATGTAATGGCAAATCATTTTAGCGCAATTATTATGAAATTTTTCATCAATTTGTGATGCCATTATTGTGTAGTGTTTTCACAATTTGTCTACCGAGATATAATACTTTTGTATTGTAAATATATTTTTCTTTTTATAAATTTTTTTATAGTTACACATAATCTTGTATTTCAATATAAAATTAAAATTAAATTTAATTAAAATATAAAATTATAATTATATGTAAATATAATGTATATTATAAGATATATCTTATTTTGAATTTTATATTTAATATATGTGTGCGTACGTGCGCATGCGTATATAATAATTATGCATTTAATTTGATACTTTTATCACATAAATTTGTCAATATGTCTGATTTTTTATTAATGATTATTCATTTTTCGTAGATGGGTGGTGCTATTCTCCCATCCTGCGGACTTTACCCCAGTATGCACCACTGAACTGGGTCGTATTGCGGTGCATCAACCGCATTTCGTAAAACGCAACACCAAGTTGCTTGCTCATTCTGTTGACAAACTTAAGGATCATGTGGACTGGGTCAATGTAAGTATCTTTAAATTCTATATTTAATGTTATTCCTAATGTTTGTCCAGAATTTTTGTGTTTTTCTATTTCTTTTTTTCCCATTTTCAAATTAATTCTGGTTAGTTTTGTTAATTAATTTTCCAATGTAATTCCTCATTTCTATTGCAGGACATTAAATCGTACTGCAAAGACATTCCTGGTGCATTTCCATATCCCATAATCGCTGATCCTGATCGCAAACTCGCTGTGCAACTGGACATGATCGATGAACAGAATAAGGACGATCCAGAAACCGCTCAGACTGTTCGATCTCTGTATATTATCAGTCCGGATCATCGTCTACGACTTTCTATGCAATATCCAACCTCTACTGGGCGTAACGTCGAGTGAGTTAACCGAATACTGCACTATTTTGCGTTTGAGAACATTTCAAAATTTTGCATTCATATACTGAGTTAATTTAAATTCACTCTACATATGTGTTAATTTAAATTCATTCTATTAATCAATATTACTATTAATCAATATTACTATCGTTTTAGCGAAATATTACGTGTAATCGATTCGCTGCAGCTTGTCGACAGAAGGCCGGAGATAGCAACTCCCGCCAACTGGGTGGTAAGTCTCAATCTTACACCTTTCATTGCATGTTATTTGTGATAGTATCTAATTCAATTATGATGATAAATGGTATTAATTTACGGCGAAAGTTTTAATCTGATTTAATTATGCAAACGATATTGCAGCCTGGTGAGAAAGTAATGATCCTGCCGACAGTAAAAGAGGAGGATCTCCCGAAACTCTTCCCAGGAGGAGTCGATCGTGTATCCATGCCATCCGGAAAAGTCTACGTTCGCACTACTACTAATTACTAATTGTAAAAACATTATGTTACTACTTATGTTTCTACTTGTTTCAGAACTTTGTTCGAGTAGTTTTAATTCAGCATCACACTATGCGAGATTTGAAAAAAATTATAAAGTTTCATTTAATAAAAATTCCTTAATAATTTACATTTAATAATTTTGACGATTATTAATTAAGCTTCATATTATTAAACATATTGCTAACATATTGTTAAAAAAATTACTGAGCAATTGATACCGAATATCGATTGCGAATAAAAGGAATAATATTATATATTTTCATAGAGATACTTGCCACATTTTCCGGAATTTTGTGACCAGGTAGATATTTAACATTCTCGTGGATAGTATTGATTATATTGGTCAATTTTTCGTTGTTGATAATTTCCTCGTATACATACATTGTCACTCGAGTCTCAAATATGTTGTTGTACTTCATAACATTTGCCCCGACGATCTTCGCGATCGCCGAGCCCCTGAAACGATTTGCTACATGTCAGAAGAAGATTCTTTACATAAAGTTATTCTTAATTAATAAGTCACTTAATAATCATGTCAATAAATAATAAGACATATAATTATTGTATATAGTTATATATGCTATATATGTGTGTAATATACTATACTAATATAGTAATATTATATAATTATATATATATTAAATACATAGCAATGTCATAAATAAATACACACACCAATTTAATTAAATTAGTCAAATCCATTTTATACAGTTATCAATTATCATAAAAAAATTGAAATTATATCTAAATATATAATCACAAATTTGCTTTATTAAATTGATACAACTGCATATTATGAGACCTTAAAATCGTGTGATGATACACCGAGTTAATTTTGGAACAATAAGCTACACAGCACAATTGCATTACGGCGTGTTTACTGATGACAAAACTAGATCAAATAAAATTGTCCTACTCTATTATTGATTTCAAAATTAGATTCAACTCTATGATAAAAATATATCTTTTTTCTCTTTTGATATATGTAATGTAAAAAGAACAAATGTATATACGTATATATGTACATATGTATATATTTACCTTTTTTGTACTATATAAATATATTATACTTTTTTGTATAAAATTTTAATACAATTATATCAAAAATTATTTTATATTATTATATTATTACTCATTTAATCAGAGTCAATATTATAATGTTAATTAAATAAATTTGATTGATAAACAATATAATTCATTAATTAAATATCAAAAGATTTTCCTAATTGTTTTTATATTATTGATTTATTTTTTAACGATTATTTTTAATACTATTTATGATTATATAAACTTACCTGAAGAAGAGGTACAGCTTTCATTTCTAGCTGAAGCACTCCAACAAATGTTAGGGTGCACACACAGCTCAATAAAACAGTACAAGATGGGAGAGAATATATAGGAGAAAATGGGAGAGAAACGATTTCTCGTACGCAATTAATTTCTAATTAATTATCCTTAGCACAAAAAAAATTACCAATTGCCGCTGCCGACGATGCATACTCTTTTTTTCACGTCTGGCATCTCTTCTCTTTATTTCTCTTCCCCTGATGACAGATAATAATATTCCCGATCCACAGTCGATCAATCGCGTGATTCGACTGACTGACTTAAAAGCCTGCTGATGGCTGACCTTAGCGGCGATCGTGAATTATTTTCTTATGCGCAAGCTCTGGATTAAGGCCAGCTGAGAGGAAATGCTACGACAACGAAGAAGCGTCGCGATAAAATTAGCGATCTACTGATAACTGCAATAATGAGTTAAAATTTAAATTGATCCTGTTCTTCTGTTCGATTTTATAGATTTAACACTAGATTTACAGGATCCGTCAATTAAATGAGTTTCGGACCAAAATTACAGAAATTATTACTATTATTACCTAGCAATTTTTGCTGACTTTTATTAATGGAATGATATGAATATATATCCAAATTTATTTCTTTCTCAGCTTCCTAATTTTGAATTTGATTTTTCTCATCAAATTAATCCTTGTAGAAAAGTACTGCTGCGCAGTAGTATTTTGAGGCATTAGTGCACTACTGCGCTACTACAGCAGTAATGCAGTGCGCAATAGTGCAGTAGTGTGTAAGAGAGAGAGAGAGAGAGAGAGAGAGCAGTGTAATATAGTGCAGTAGTGCCTCAAAATATTACTGCGCAGTAATACTTTTCTACAAAGAAATGGATAAATCTAGTGTTAATAGATAACAAAAATCACAATATTTATTGAATCAAGCTTTTGATGAAAAATAAAATTTTCTGATAATATTTTTACGAGAGAGTATAATACATAAAAAAAGATATAAAGAATAAATTGTTACGCACTGGAACTATGCCAATTATGAGCAAACATGATCAATCCCTGCTGAAAAAATTCGAAGTTACATAACAAAATCATGTAAGACAAGAATCACTTAACGGATTATTTCAAATCATATGTGATTTTTTAAAATCATGTAATTTAAAGAGTGACATAATGTTTTTTTCTTCTATTTCTATCATTCAATTTTTTAAAATTCAATAATTATAAAATTACAAGATGGATATAATTATTTTTAATATGATGTGATTTTTTACAAATTGCGTATTAAAAAATCACGTACTGATTTGGAACAATCTGTTATACATGATTTATTTGTCTTAAATACATGATTTCGTCATGTAACATTGTGACATGATTTTTTTCAGTAGAAATTTATTTTATAATTAAATATTTAAGATATTTTTCGAATATTTATAGATGCCTACACATTTATTTTCACATTCTGCTAAAAAATTGAAGAAGTTGAAGATATGAAAATTGAAGACATGAATCGAGAGAAAAGAAGAGAAAAAGAACGTAAAAAACTTGATGTTTACAAATTTCTTATTTCTCTGCAGTCATAATAAATTTCGATCATATATCTAATTGAATATAATTATAATAAACGTATTATAATTATTATTATATGGTGGAGTACTATACGAAATAATTTTTTTTAAAGAAATATCTAATTATCTCATCGATATTTATCAAAATTATTAAGAATAAATTTGTCAAAAAGGATTTCTAATAAATTATTCTTATATGTATATGCGCTAAAATCCTTAAAACAAATTTTACAAAAAATTAGTAATCAAAATGAGATGAATTATTTAATAATTTAAAAATTATCATAATTGCATCGAACATTGGGTACATTAATCATTTTGTAAAATCTCCTCAATTCGTTCTATTCGTTTACAATTTAAATATTCTCTTAAATATTTTACATAAATGAACTTCTGAATTCAATAACATCTCTGCAAATATATAAAAAATATAATGAATAGTTGCTATATTTGCAAGAATTATTCTAATTATCAAGAGGGTGCTCTAAAACTCGACTCTGTCAGCTCCGAATATCTTTTATATTTTGTTCAATATTCGGTGAATGAAAATGGATAAAATGATATTTGGGTTGACAGAATCGAGTTGTGTATCCCAATATCATAATAAAAACTCCCTACAAAACTCCAGCTTAATAATTAACACGTTTCACTTTAAAGTAATAAATGAATTCAATATCACTGAATTAGCATCACGCTTTTTCGTATGATCTAGGATGTTGATTTCCAATGGCGACCAATCTTCTCTCGAGGAAATGATGTCTGGTATCCTCAAAGATGGCATTTGGATGACTTGAGCATTATCGACGATGGCAAGGCATCTTCATCCCTAAATATGGAGCGAATGAGAATTAACCTATTCAAGCCGACGTAGTTCCTACGATATTTATCGTCAGCCCGAAAAGTAGCTTACACACCAGCTAATAAATAAATGAGATTGTACAGCGTTAAAAAAAGACGTAAACATTCTTCAGAAATGACAGATCTATACAAGGTATTCCCTACGAGATCACTTCTCGTGAGCAGATAGAGATAAACTGGATCGAAAAATATTTTACCATATTTTGTAATTTTCGCAATACTTTAGAAGATATTAATTTCTAAAGATCACCAAATATCTCGGACTACTTCTAATTGTAAGTACATGCTCATCAGTCGCGGTCGCTTGTCACACGGGATTGCCTAGTCGCGAAAAGTATCAGTGGTATTATCATTTAGATCAATAATAAAATCATTTGAACTAAATTGAATGATAAAATTATACGGACTCAACGGCATTATCATTATCGAATGATTTTATTACTTGAGACGTTTAATAAGAAAATCCTTCGGTCAGGAGTAAAATATTTTTTCTCTCAGAACGAGTTTCGTTAAGGGTATAGACCAATCACTCTCCTTAGAATACTTCAAGGAGTCACAGTATTCGGTCGCCAGTTAAAATTTTAGAGGTTCAGAGATTGAACCGATGCATGACTATAAGTCACGAAACGCCTTATATCCCTTCAACAAGAACTCTTTATATTAAGTTTGCAATCGTCGCCTAGAGACATCACTTTATTTAACGTTAAGTACGTCGTTGAACCGTATGTGTCCAAGATCACATTCTATGCCGTAAGAATGGACATAACCAATCCAGGTATGAGAGGAATCTGCATCTTAATTAGACATAATATCATTTTCAATACTATTGACCTACCATTTAGAAGGATGATTCGGTGGAGATGCTTGATGAGGAGATGTGTTCTGACAATGAGAAATTCACAATTATCAATAACTATCGTCATCTGATTCTATTGAAGATCTTATGAGATTTGGAGACTCAAAAGTTAACTGCATCTTTGTTGGGGGTTACAATGCCCATCACTCCCAATGAGGCTGCTCAAACATGGATCGCGCTGGCTGATTCTAGCGTCAGTAGAGAATCGCTACGTCTGCATTCTTAACGATCAACGATCCACATTGCTTTTCCATTGCCTTTCACCTAACTTTGACTTGTCAGTCATCGACTTGATCATAGCCACCGCTAAAATGGCTCCTCTATGTGAAGTGCGTACTGAGGAGGACACTTGGGGCAGCGATCACTATCCCATCACGGTTAAAATTAGTCAGTTTGATCTTACGTCAATGGTACGCCTATAAGATTAATCTTAATACTAAAGAGCTTATTGATTTCCAGGACATCCTGGCTCATACGATTCGTTTAACAGCCATCTATCATCTGATGAAAATGAGGCATACACTCGACTGGTGAATCATCTGATGAACTCAATAGCGTGCTCCTCTTTTTCCAAGAACTTAAATGCGGGCACTGTTTTTGTATCAAACGAGAGAACCGCCCCTCCGTGGTGGACGGATAAATGTCAGGAAGCAATTATCAAACGCAGAGGGGCGACCCGAATCTGGCAAAAAATTCCTACAACTGAAAACTTTTATAATTTTAAAAAAGCAGATGGAGAAAATTTGTTGGATCCTTTGATTCTAAAATTCCAATCTCAGAAATTTGGTCACTGATCAGAGCCTTTAAACGACGCAATCTTCCAAATTATACAGCTGATCCCTCTAAAGAGAGACAGTCCGGGAAGCTATTCAGACTATGCCTGCCTTCCTGTTTTCAAGATAACTTAACGAATTTAGAAGAAATGAAGAGGGAAGATGATAATTCAGGTGCTGTTTTCAAGAAATCGATTCACCAATCATTGTCAAACATTTAGATCTCGCAATTTCCACTGCAAAAAAGAAATCGGTTCTCGGCCTGAGCAGAATCAATAATAATATGCTGGCATATCTGCCATATAAATACAAAGAGCTATTAGTAAATCCTTTTAACAGTTTTTTAGCTAAGGGACTTATTCCGGACGAGTAGAAGATATCCTTGGTTATCTTTATTCCCAAAGCGGGAGGCTCGGTTAGTTAAGAAACGTTTTTTTTGTAATTATAGTTTTAGGTGTATTCTGGAATAAGATATTAATCAATAATACTCATTTTAGCAATAAAACTAGAAAATTAAAAGCATTACTAACCAGTGGTAAAATATCCTCAGTGATAAAATATTACCATTGGCGAAAACTCATTCAGCTTGCTATAAAATACTATTGAAAACATCATTCATTTTCAATGATTTTTTCAATGATATTTTTAATAGTAAAATTATCTGTTTTTTTCGCGATAGGTAGGCGACGTAAGTTAAGTGACACGCGACCAATAGCGGGCAACGTATCAAGCAGTCCCTCATGAGTCCCCAACGCAACAAGCGACCACGACCAATGGGCGTACTTGGCGATAATCCGCGCGGATTATTTAGTGACATTTAGAAATTAATATCTCCTACAGTATTGCGAAAATTGCAAAATACTAAAGGATTTTTCGGCGCAGTTCAGTACGCTCTACCTGTTCACGAAAGATGATTCCATAAATCGAGGACACCCTATATATATACAGAGTGCTTGACATTAAGTGTTTCACCGTTCATAAGTAGAGAGGACTAAACTGAATTGAAAAGTTCTTTAATATTTTGTAATTTTTGCAATAGTTACCGAGATATATGATTGAATACCGAGGCTGTGTTTCAAAATTTACTGCAAATACTGAAAATCTACAGTTTACGTGCACTCTAGATTTTCAATACTGGCAATAAATTTTGGAACACAGCCGAGTGAATAGTTGCTTTCCGTTTACACCGATTCTCAGATAATTCTCTTGTGACGTAGCTCAGTTGAATGCGTGTTCCTTTTGTATATAGACAAGTGAGATTCAATTGAGTTTACCTATAATCTGCACAAGATCGAAACCGTGTACTTTAATGAGTCTCGTAAATTCACTTTAAAAGTGAGCTATTATGAACCTGTGTTGTCATGTGATGACTTTTTATCAAAGTGATGTCATTAATCTGAATATGAAATATTCAGCTCATTTTAAACTCACTTTCACTTGTGTGTAAATGGAAAGCAGCTAATGTATTATACTAATAAACACAAAGATATTTCTTATTGAAGAATTACAAATAGTAATTACCAATACTTTTACTTATTTTGTCAATAAAAGATGAATCGATAAAGTTATAGTCAGAGATGAAATTGCACAAAACTTCAGAGAGAAAGAAATCATATTATTTAAATCAATACCAGAGTTAGACTCCTCTTTAACAACTATATATCTGCAAGTTCGTGATAAAAAATCCCAAAATCCCATGTGCGCTGAGCACCAAGTGAATTTAATTGAATTGTTACAAGACGTAAAGAAAGAGGCTTTTATAAAAACATTCCTTACTGCCAGATTTAAATTATCAAAAGGAAATTTCTCTCTCTGAGGCTTCATGCAGGATGCAATAGATTGAATAGCACTATGGGAATCGATACAGATATTATAATAATATTAGATCAAGATTTTCCCCGTGCAAAGTCAATTGCTTTATCAAGAGCCATAAGTTTTGCGGAAAGAGTTGGACAATGAGTTTAGTTTAAATTTTTCTGAAATATTAAATTCAGGAATCACAAAGAGTAACATCCTACTAAATTAGAATTATTGTCATAAGGAGGGTTTTCGTTTGTATAAATGCCAAATAGCAATCTCACATTTCCTCTGAGTTATCAGATAGAAATTAAAGAAAATAATTTTCAGATTGAATTAATTTTTTACGAGAATACCTGTTTCATAGTCAAATTTCAGATTAAAAAGGGAAAAAATCTACAAGGATGAGTAAAAGGGATGGATATCCTACCTAAAAGGTTGTCAAAAGGCTTCACAAGAGGTTATCTAGACATTATAAAAGGAGTATATTTCTATTCGCCATTTTTTTGTTGAGCAATAATTATGAAAATTATTAATTTTATTTATAATCCTATTATTTTTAAGTTGGTATAGTTTGCAAATAGATTTTTTACATTATTATTATAACTAATCTAATCGAACGAAGTTTAATTAGCAAAAATCCAAGTGACTTTATTCGAAGAATGTCTGAGAGATATCTTAAACACAGAACTCAAAATTTTTTCGGTATGTAATCTGGCAGCATTCCAGTACCAATCATGGAACTGAATCCAAATCTAATCGTGGAGTTAATAAAGAACTTTAGCTTGAAGGCTTATATGCCCTGATTTTTGCTATATAACCATTTCAGGATGTTCATAAAACATGAACTTTTCTTATGTGAAGATACGATTTCTCCATCTCAGACTCGAGTCCAAGGTTAACCCAAGGTAACATATAGAATTGTTGAATGAAATGAATTCTAAATCAACTCGAATGCCTGAAGGGATAGGAATAGAGTTCGATGAAAAACGTAAATTGTGTTTTAAGTTGCAGAAAGATTTTTAAATTAATAGAGTGCAACTAGTTAATAATTTAGTAATTCGATTGAATGCAAGAATCAAACTTTCCACACATTATTAATATTTTTGTCCATGCAGATAGCTATGTCATCAGCAAATTGAATTGTGACGCAGTTATATGAAATATGATAAAAAATATCTTTCACATAATAGTTGAATAATAGCTTAGAACTGTACCTTGAAGAAAATCTTTCTTTAAAATTCTACTATTACAAAAATCTCAACGTTGACTGTTCTTAGGCTAATTAGTCGGCGATCTTTAGTGATTATTTGGCTTGTTCAAGTCGAAAAAATGGCCATAGTTTGCTCGTCGAGTAAATGAACATGATTGGTTGTTACTTACAGATCCAATCAATCATATTCAATCGATCGGCGAGTAGACTAGCTTTGTGTAGCTTGAACGCGCCTAATATGTCAGTAACTATTGCAAAAATTGTAAAATACAGAACCTTTCAATTCAGTTTAGTTGGCTCTATCTGCTCTCGAAAGGTAATCCCATAGA